CGTAGGTACATGTGCTACGCATCTTCTGACCTCTCTTATACTTTACACTGCAGTGTGCGAGACATCCTTGTGTGATTAAACAACACTGTAAAATACTCCCGGGCGGAGAAAACAGTGACGTATTCCCCTCCTAAGTCAACCCGTTTTCGTTCCAACACTTTAGTGACCAAGCACCTTCATTGTAATAATTCATTGCAAAATATACGAAAGATCAACATTTAAAATTGTCGTGATCATTCTCAAAAGTGATTTCCATGTATTCAATATACAATATACAAATTGCAATGGATACTGTAATAATCATTATCAACATGTTTTAGTTTGGTCGTTAAAGTATTGGAAGATAGATGCCCAAAAAAGGTCTTCCAGAATTATTTCTCTGCCTTTAGCTGTATTCCTCGATAAAAACAGACGCATCTCATCTTAGAGCATATACTACTGGAGGCAACTTCCATATGTAAAAGTGTAGACAAACCCAAAATAAGAGAGATAGAGATACAGTTTATCTACGTGCTTTATTTCAAAGTACGAGATTGGGCCATAGACATACATCAATGATGACATCACACATACATGTATGAGAACAGACCGGACCCTTCGTATCAAGCCAGGCCCAAACGAGAGACTCGAGACCTGTCGATTGAGAAAACGCATGTATAGAGTTTCTATTTTTTCTATCGACACATGAGAGATAGAAAGACAGAAACTCGTCCAAAGCATTTACGGGATCAATAAAAATGCATTCAGGAGCTCGGTCTATTCTTTGATGTCTATGGGCTGGCCACAACATTTCTCCTTCAAATTCGTTTACTGACAAGTAAAGATTGTAACCAATGCTGCGAGAGAGAGGTAGTATGTAGCTAACGATTTCTATCCCGTTTACTACATCTTTAACGCTGAAGAAGCTGTCTCCAGTAGCATGCGCTCTAAGCAAAACGTCCCACCAACAAACATTTTTCACATGTGAAATGGAAACACGTATTTCCATGTACGAGAATTAAATACAAAGTCGACATATACCAGACACAGAGCCACGCGCACACTTTCTTTTTTATTAATCGCGTTTTACGCACAACGAAACGAAGTTACGTACAAATGTACATTCTATACATATACATTGTCTTTATAAGAAAACTTTGCAAATCACTGCAAAATTATCCTCAGCAAATGTTTGAAGGTAAAAGAGAATTGTTTTCATCTTTTACCGTAGAAAATTATACTCTGTCTCGTCTCGTGTCCTCGTCTCATTTTATTTCGTTTGCGAGGAACACGAAGCATCACCGCTTGTCAAGCAACCGGCCTTGTTCTTTTCTCGTTAATACGAAACTCGTCGGATAAATGCAGAAAATATACGATGAGAAAGCTCGTCGGGGGTTCTCTTGATTAGAACAATCGGAACGGCCGCCCGTTTTAATATCAGAACGATCAGATCCTTCCGTTCCGCGAATATCAATGTAACGAGGGCTCGAACAGTAATTGTTTAATATGTACAGTTAAGCCATCGAGTGATTTGCACACACATATGTAAATCATTTGTTTACAATAAATTCGTGCTTCTTTGGATTCGTTCCTGTTTTTTCAAAACAGAGAACAGAAATTGCGACTGGGATCGATTTCTATGAAATGGTAAATAGAGTACAAGAATATTCTAAAAATCAGGACGTTTCACGCAACTATTTAGTGTCCTATTTGGAAAATCTCGAAGGCCCTTCGCGTTTCGCTTGTCACTGACTGAAGCTCGACCGATTATTGATTATACAAAAGACGACCGCTGTACAAAATAGGCGGTCGTATTATTTTATTGCTTGGTATTTAAGGAGTTGAAACCTGACCGGTCAAGTGCAGTTGCATAAAACTTCCTGTAGGTTTTTAAAGAGAGCAGCTCCTCTCTACCGGTTCACAATTCATTATACAGTTAAATATCAACAAGTTATCATAAAGTTTGTCTGTTCATTGCAGAATTCATCTTTCGATTGCACCTAAGCGATTTTGCTTCACGCGGCAAAGGGAAGCTGCCATACCCGGTGGAATACAAAAATATGACAGGGCTAAGCTTCTCTTTGTACAGGAGCTGGCAAACACCTGGTTACACGTCGACTGAAGCGACTCTTGTTTCTAACGAGACTCGAACCTGGCATCGTTTCAATTTTGAGACGTATAACCCAGACTCGAGACGCTCGTGTTAATATTTGCGACACTAGGCGTCCTCAAAGCCGCGTCGCCAGCGTGCCGCAAACACGCCGTGTTTGTTCCTTTTGGAAATTCTTACGAGGCTTACCGTGAAACCGTTTTTAATGAAGGTAAACGTGAAATGAAAAAAGAAAGATCATTTATTATGAAAGCGAAAGAATCATTTCACTTCCCTATCTGTTTATGATCATTTCAAATGCACTTTGAATTAAAAAACTAAAGCTTAAAGCTTCCAACATGATTTGAATTATTTCCTTCAAAATTAGTAAATAAATTTAATTTTATATTCTTTACAACTTTTTAGTTGATTGACATTGAATCTATTCGAGTCCAAGTTGATTACATGGTAAAGAATATTCGAATTGTAATCTAATTAAGTTTCAGTCATCTCCATTTGATTAAGTTTGAATTAAGTACTGTTTCTACTTCGTAAATATGAAGATCATGCTTTTCTAAATAGATTACAATTATATTTTCCTACGATAAATAATTCATTCTAATTAGGTAAAAGACGAAACAAAAATTGATTTTTCTTATGGATCGAAAATATTCGTTTTCTACAAAATAAAATTATTTTACGCTAACATTAAAGCTATTACCTTCTTCAGTCATAACAAGTACATAGAATATGTTAAAAAAACTGCAATTCATCGTAAAATCAACAAATCAAGTTGATTACCCGTTTGAAATAAATGAATGATAATTAAAATAAAATAAATCAAAATCATAAATAATGTTTCCGTCCATTCGGGACCTAGAAGAGCGCGAACAGTTATCGAAACTTGAATGACTCGAAATCCTTCATTAATTAGTTTACATTTCTTTGTCGGTGTCTTCCTACTAATATCCTTAGGAACTTGCGTTTATCAATTCTTCCTCTGCCATTTTAAAATATCATTCGGTAAGGCAAAAGGCGACAACGTCCGAAAGCATCGGACAAAATCAGTGTACAATTCAAAGATCCAGTTTAAAATGACTTACTTGCAGCTCCTGTTGTTGTTGTCCTTGTTGATCAAATCAACATCTTCTTGGCTTGTAATTGCTGCAAAGATAAATACATTGATGCTCGTTTAAATTCGAACGGGTTCATTCGAATTTATTCGAATATCGTTGCGATAATAATTATCGTGTCATAAATCGACGACATGGCAAAAATTGATATCCGGTAATCAAACGATCGATCTGTTCGCGCGACTCGTCATGGAATTGATCCATGTTTCAGGCGACGTCCATCGGAAAATGCGTGCTCGGAAGCAACGCAATGGTTCAGAAGAAATGGATAAAACGCGGGAGACGCGTTAGACAGAGCTAGTCTTCGGCAAGGGTTTCATCAGCTTCATGTCTCGTACGTGCTCGTGGTATTCTTGGAAACAGGGCACGATGCAGAGATTCGCCTGGCACTCGGGACAGTGATATTTCGTTTTCCTACGAAGCGTCCTACCGTGGGCGTCTACCGTGTTCCAACAGTGCTTGCAGCTCAGGGCCGGGCCTGGACGCAACACTGGACAGTGTCCAAGCCGCAAGTTCTCTGCGCTTTCGCGGGACTCCCTGGTACTCGTCTAAAACAGATTTCATAGAACGTAGGAACAAAGCTGCTTTATCAATCCTGGAAGATGGCCTAATAATTTGATAAAAGTCTTCTAAAAATTCAAATTAGTATCGAGATATAGAATTATCATATCGAGCTCAACATTCTTTTTGGAAATCTTCTAATTGGCAATTAAGAAAGTTTTTTACTACAACCCAACTGTTCGATTTTCTAGATAATCCTAAACACAGCCGATATACTTCCTTACTTGCGGAGACGAGGAACTCCGCCTGAGTTCCATAGTCTTCACCCTCAATCCAGAAGTGGATCCCGCGATTTCGGTAGCGGTGGTAGCAACGGAGGTGACCGCCACCTCTTCCGTCACGTGCTCTTCCGTTTTAACGACGGGCGCCGGTTCCACGACGATAGACGGACTGGTCGTTCTCCTGGGGAACTCTGGATTCGAGTGTTGTCTGTGTATCCAGTAATTGCTACTGGTCGACTGTTGCTGACTAGACAAGATCGGATGGGAGTGTTGCTTCATCAAGTATGACGGCTGCGGGACGGTCAACAGGTTCGTCGACGTGGTCACCGCCAACAGACTCGGCTGATTCACGAGGATTGATTGAGGCGGCGAGGCGATCCTCGTTCCTTCGTCCCAGCTTCGTGACGCGTGTGGCAGATTCAGCGTAGGCGTCGTCACGTATACCGAGGAGGAGACGATGTGCGGCGAGGACGCCTCGCTGTCCGGTGACAAATGGTTCGATTCTTTCTTCACGCGTGGCTGACGTAAAAGACGACACCTCTTCGCGCCTACCTGCTTGCAAGCTACTGCAACGGAAAGGGTGATCTTAATCCTGCTGGATCCAGTATCACAAAAACTGGATGTGCGAATAGCTGTTTCTTCATTCTTTAACGAAATTGATAAGTCCATTTGAAACTTGACTTGATTCAATTTTTCGTGTAGTGTAATTACAAATAACATTTATAGCTGGGCTGCGGATTTTATGCATTTATAGCCATACATATAAAGAATGCTTGCCATGTAGGAAAATATTAAAAAATGTGTGCACATTACAGTTTAAATAATAAAATATTGACACAAATGTTTTATTTAACATAAGAATTCACAGTCTATTTCTAGTAATTGTGCGCAACATAAATATCTAATTAGGAACAATGAGAAAGCAATTTTAGAAAGGGCTTGGAAGGAGCACAATCCTTCGCAATTTTATATTGGTAAAATACAAGTAATAACAATTTTTATATGCGGGCACAGATAGTTCCTGTCGAAAGGGTGAGACGGGTTGTTCGTAAATAAAATTTTATTATGTACATAGAAAATTGTGTACTACATAAACAAAAATCTAAAAATTAGATCCGACCAGAAACAGAATTTCCTTTCTTCACGTAGTTTATTAAAGGCGTAATACAATAACACTGACACATTAAACTCGATCCTCTGCATATAAAATTCGGTACCGATTTTAAACTAGTTCCCCCTTTTTTTTATTTACCAGTATTTAAGGTAGTATACATGACGATCAACATATGTAACATTCTATATTTGTCTATCGCTTTGTACAGACATTGAAAAAAAAAAGATACCTAAATATCATTTGATTCACATATTTCGCTATAAAATTGGTATCTTCGTACGTCGAATTGGAACAGGAACATATTTGAAAATTGACGCTCTCTTTAAGTACGGTTAAAAAATACGGATTTCCAAATATCTGTATTAAATGCAACAGCATAAAAGAAGACGGAAGATAATACTTAGTAGCGATAACAAAAAGATTAGAATATTTACATTGTAAAATAATTAATATCGATATTTACATCGATGCCAAATTTCATCGCACCTATTTAAATGCTAAACAATAATATGTATATATCCTACAGCTTTAAACCTAGGGCACCCCTCCCATTCTTCATTATTTTTTTTCTTTTTTATCTATTATAGGACGTTCTTTTTAATGATCGTGTACATCTTTGCAGTTTAGTTTCTCGTTTGTAAAGTAGATTGTTAATTGCACATATATGTATTTCTCTAACTACGTTTCGTATCGCTATCTTTTTTATTCATTGCGTACAAAATATTATATACGCTAAAGTTGGTAAAGCAAGCACAGTTCCGTAAAACTATCTCTAGTGCAACTACTTTACCAACCTTAGACATTCGCGTGAAAACTGATTCTATCTGTCCTTAATACGACAATTGCCAAGTTTTAAAAAGACGTTCAATAGTTGATATACCTCAAATAACATTAAGAAATATATCATATAATCAATCAGGCAAATTTATATACAAAAAAGAGGACTTGCTGTTGTAAACGAACATGTTTTTGGGGATCTGTATTCGATTTCAACGAACTAATAAAATACTAAAATATAAAAACGCCCGCGTAAATAGTGATGTGCCGTTCTTCTTGATTCGAGATCTCTGTGTTACTCCGAAAAGCTTCTTATAGCTACTATACGATCTAGGCAAAAAGAGTATCTAAAATTGTATGCTTTTCATCTTTTCGATGTTTACGCGACTCGGTCTCAATCGACCTCGGCCGATCCGAGATATAGCGAAACGCCGCGAGACACCGCGGTGGCGATGTCTCATTTATCGTGATGTTTAATACTTTTCAAGCTCGTCTATGGAAGTGGGCATCAGCGGCCCCAGTTCGTTGCCGACGGTTCACATCGCATTATAGTTGACGCCGTGCAGATTGATCGGCATCGTGGGGCTCGGTAACGCGTAATCCGTGTGCCTGCTATCGATGTAACCGCTGAGCATCGTGTGCGGGCTGTGGCTGGTCAGCATGGTATGCGTGCTGTGAGTATTGTGTGTACTGTGCGGTGTCGTGGGCGGACCCATCGGTGTGGGGCTCTGCGAATTGACCGGCTGCGTCACCTGCGAGGGCGGCGGCGAGGAATTCACCTCCTGTTTGACCCTGGATTTCAGGCTGGGTCGGTTGTTCGGGTAACCGCGTTTTTTGTACTCGAGCCAGAGCGTTCGATTGTTCACGCCGAACATCCTGGCCGCCTTGCAGAACCCTATGCCCCCATATCGGACGGCATCTAACGCCCTGATAAAATTCTCGTCGGCTTGCGGATTCGTCGATCGTTTCCTCTTAATTGCGGTCTGCGGACTGGCGCACGGGCTCTGACAGTTACTCGGACACTGGGACGACGGCGATGGCCCGCTGGACGACGCGTGCTGCAACGTCCCGTGCGAGGAGGTCGGGTAATTCGTCAAGGCGCAACTAGAACCAGTCGTGCTGGTACCAGAGTACTGATCGCTGATGCTCGAGGAAGCTGTTATTTCAGGCGTGGTAAAAGCTGACGACGCTTGGATCGACAGATTCGTTTGACACGAGGACAGAGCGAAACGTGGATATGTATGCTCCATAATAGTCCATTGCAATCCTGCGGAACAGACCGGTTCATAGCTTTTGTCAGAGCACAGGAATATTATTTCGTTATCGGCTGTATATTATGTATGTTTTCTCAACGTTATAAGCAGAATGATACATGTGTATTAATTATGAATGAATCGTAACTGTGGATTTATGAAGTATGTCCTTTATATAATGGAATATATAAATTGAATAAGTAGATATTAGCGGTAACGTGTTCGTAATAAACAATAATAAATTGAACGAAAGAGGCGATTCGGCAATAATTAGAATTAGCTTATCCGTAGTAGTCAAGACTACAGAATCGAAAATAGTAACTAATATTCAAATGAAATGCTTTCGCTACTGTATATATAGATAAAAAGAAAATAGAGTTGCTAAGCTGTAAGCGGAAAAGAATGAAATTCATAAAAGTCTGTGATAGTAACATGGTATACATAATGGGAATATTGAAAATAGAATATTATGGCATGGCACAGATACATTTTAAAGCACATTGTCTCGTTTATATTTAGTTTAGGAGAAAAAATGTGTACAATTCTTTATTGACTACGTTAAAGGGCAGAGAAAGGCACACATACACACTCAACAATGTTAACCACTTACGCTGGCAACGAATTCGGCCAGATCGCTCCACCGCAACTCATCGTGAGGCGTTACTTTAAAACAAGAAGGCTCGGAGGAGACTTACGCAAAGAATTTTACACAGATATGAACATGATTTTGTTTATTAACAATCTTGTACAGTGTGGTATACTTCAAAATAATCCATTGCCATAAGGCATTCCTTGCATTCCCACATAGTTTCACTGCGCTTTATTTGTTTTCCACACACTTTACATCTTCCCCGTGGATTCTTTTTTTCTTCTCTGGGAGAAATATTCCTTGGAAAATGTCCCCTGTCCCTTGCTTATAAACGATGCAATGTGTTACCAGCAGACATTCTTCCACATTCTTCATGATCAGGAATACACATACTTTGTAAAATTTGTCCTGCCACGAAATTTCGAAAACGAGAATTTTTTTATTTTTTGCTATATCTATTTTCTTAAAAAAAAATAAAACACAAGCATTGAAAAATGCAATAATCACTAAATAAAAACATATTTTTTATACATTTTCTTTTCAGTGAAAAAAATAGGAGATAAGTAATTATCCCAATTATGCCATCATTATACTCGAAAACAATATTGAGCTTGATAACGGAGTTATTATCTTTCCTCCTCTTCATTTCCACTTCCATCATTTCAATGTTTTTATTTTCGTAGACAATAAATATATGTCTTCTTTATCTTTCCACTTTGCAACTAAAATACCATTACATGATCTTGAAATAATTTTAGATCGTTCCAGTTTTGTCGTTGAGAATTCTTGCGCCATATTATTTCTATTAAATCTCACTGTTCCTATGAGATTAGTTTTTATTTATTGCAATTTTTGAAACAGGTTTGGTGAAGAATACCCATTATGCAAAAACAGAGTATGTCCGTCATCAGTTGTTGATGTATACACATACACATGGAACTATTTTCTGATGCCTTAGCTTTTGAATACTTTCGTGTATTTTGCCCACTGTATATTTTGAATTTGATGCAATATTCCAACTTGGATTCACATAGCTTATAAAACTTGACTCCAAAACGTGCTCTTTTCCTTTAACTGTCTGACTCGCGTAACGATTTGATTCTATCACAATGATTTTCCAAAAGTCTTGTGTTAGTATTCCATTTACCATTTACAAAGCTGTGACAGTTTATCCTACTTGAATATATATTCCAGAAATCCGTAAATATTGGTACATCTTGCTATTATTTTCTGTCTTTCCATATTCGTTGCTTAGATATAAGATTCATTTCACAATCTCCATCGCCACTTTCTTCTTCGTCATCCGATATGATTCTACACCGCTTCCGCAAAAATTTCATCGCAAACGCTATTTCACTATTTATTTTACGCAGTCACTTTTTATTTTATTACTTGATTTGTCTACGTTATAATAAAATATGTTGCAAATTACATGTATTGATGGATCCACGCAACGCGGTACAATCTGAAACTGTACTTGGACAAACAATCCCAGTCGACGTACCGCGCACGTCACGTTTAGTTCTGCGAGAACTGCTACCGACGTGTCTAATAGGTCGTTATTGAGTTTGAAACAAAAAACATTTTAACGTGCGTGGCACGTTTTTCCAGCGCAAGTGGTTAAAGGCCCGATTTTATTGTCCTCCAAAAAAAGAACATTATACATTGTGTGCTATGTATCTGTGTACCATGGTGAATTTCATGAATGATACTAGCCTTATAAAGATTTGCATTGCTAATTTTTATTACTCTCTCATTTTTCATCTCAACTTTCGCTCTATTTTCATGTCAAACGCCTGTTGATTGTCCTTGTGCAATACATTTAAACGCATCTGTGCCAGCATATAATGTGTGTAGGTTTTTCATTTGTTCATTGCATGCAGATTCGAATATACCCACCACGTTCGCTAAAGATCGTGTTTCACTATTGAACTACCAAGGTATATACGTGTGAGAAATAGGATACATCATGCATATAATTCGATATTATATAATATTATTGCCGCTTGTGCATAAATAAGGAATAGAACCACCAAATTTATTTGGTAAAGATTGAAACAGCATTCGAAGTATAAATAACAATAATTGTATATACGCTCTAATAATAATCCTAATCTTAAAGTATACATACTTTCGTTCTTAACTAAATAGAATGATTTGTATGTACAAAATTATTGCCGCTTATAAAAGAAATGCAAACTATTTTTTTTTTTATTAAAATATGTTCGAGAATTTGAAGATATCTTCCGTTGGTTTATAATATATAAAAGCCTTTTCTCATATATTAAACATTATATCAAACAATTTAAAATAGTTACAAACTGACGAATGCGTTATACAGTGAGAAATTACTTACCTTGATGTGCAGGTGGTTGACTGGAGACTGAACTCTGTGCGACACTCCCGCCTGACTGTTGACTGACATCCTGAATCGAGCCATCGCTTTGAGCCGGTGTTGCTGCTGAACTGTTCTCCATGTTACTCATCTGAAGTAAATCGATATATAATTTAATACTGTAATCTTCTGTTTTAATTCTGAAAAATATTTCAATAAATATACATATATATATTTACAATTGATATTTGATCTTCATCTATGCTCCCTTGAGATTCCGTACTGGTGTTAACAGGTCTTCTCAGACTTTCATTGCCTTCTTGAGAAACTATTAACGGTTCGGGCTTTACAATGTTGGTAGCAACCAACGTGATTTCATTCACTTCTTCCGGCTTGTCTCCAGATCCGGACGTTGACCCGGTAGATGATTTCCTTAACCTTTTTCTACGAAATGATGGTGACAACGGAGAAGGAGTTGGAGAACAAGACTCTCCGCGATCTCCTCCTCCAGGCTCACTACTCCCGCTCGGCCACTTGGTTAAAGAAGCAGTGTGCATTTCTGCCAGTCCCTTTATCTTCAGACTTTCTGCGGTCTATACAAAAAAATATATAATCAGTATAAATGAATATAAAAATGGACAGGCTAAACTTTTAAAGATTTTAATATACCTTTATAATAGATGGTAACTGATCTTGTGATATGTTGACTTCCCCATAATACATGAAGTCGACCATAATTTTCAAGTCAGAGAATTTCACATCTTTTAATATAACAATCGGATGTTGACATGGATTCACAGTAAACAGAGATTGAAAGTATGTACTGCAAGCAGACAGTACGACTTTGTGAGCCTGCAGGTGTCTGCCTTCAGCAGCCAATGTCACGTCCACCAATGTTTCATTGTTCAACAAACTTGAGAACACCGAAATGAAATTCGGTTGATGATTGTTCCACCTCAAACAGTACTGTTGCATTGACATTTTGAGAGACTCTTAACTTATTGCCTGACACTGGAATTGCACCTACAAAACCGTTGATCATTTATTAGTTCCATACGACAATTCTAAATAAAATTTGAATTATCTTACATAACATAAACTTAAAGGACATGAGAAAGGAAATAAACGTTAGACTTTATTTGTATCAGAAACAGAATTTAGCAACTTTCGTTGCATGAACGTGATTCGAACTCTGACAAAAAATATATTTCAGACAATTGTGTCGTTTAAAATAGTAGGAGCCGTTCATACAATTGTCAGAACTTGTAGCAAAATATTTTTTAGAGGCGGGAAAACGAGAAGCAAACCATTGAACGACGCGTTTACGATTTTTTCACAAACAGCAAATACAGATTTTTGTTTGTATACTCGAATTACAATCAAAATAATCGCTCATAAAAGAAGTCATGAACTATTTCTAAAAATGTTAATCTCTATCGTGTATCATCTTAGCAGGTAGGGAAACGAAAGGAAAATCGCATCGCCGAGATGCAATGACAATGTCGAGAAAACAATTATAGACTCGGATTCACGAACTTGATATCTATTGGCTTTCCGTTCTATTCCGAAGGATGCGGAAATTGTTTGTAGAGTCATCTCATCCCGAGGTATTCGAAATCAGGAAAACAAAGGAAAAACCAATTGGCAATACGTTCGCCAATTTTTCCACGCACAACAAATATAGACTCGCAGGACGAGAATCGCGAGCTAACGAAAGACAAAGCGATATTGCTCACTTCAAACGCGAACTCCTCGAGGATGATGCCACCGTCGGCGGTCGGTGTTGATTGACAGCACGTACACCGAAAGGGTCCGTTCGTTATGGTTTTTATTAGGAAAAACAGAGGCCACACGGTGTTGCCACTGGCCTGACGAAATTTTCCACAACAGGCTGAGCGGTGACGCTTGTGTAATTCACAAATGACGTCATAGGCGAAAATTATGTACCGATAGCAACGTATGGCGGCCGATGAACCTGACGAAAAACCCGTCCCGACGGATGCGTGTTGATACCGCGGCAAATTTCTCGCGTAATCGACAAATACCGAGATCTTATCAACGTGCGTCTTTCTTCAGAAAATCTAAGTGAATCAATATAGCGGCCGTTCAAAAGTGACATCTACCGAGGATCTGTCAACCACGACCGCTTTCCTTATATCTTTCAAAACGCGTACTAAATTGATCGGAAAGCTTTAACGTCTTGTTTTGTTTCTCAGGGAAAAATAATCTGCTAAAATTTACATTGATTATAATATATCAAGCGTATCTCAACATTTGCTCAGTACTAAATTTATATTTGCTCGTTTAACAGAACTTATAACAAAAAGTGAGTAATTATTTCAAAGGTAAAAGTTAATGGGTACTGCATGTTAATATATGTTTTTATAGAGTTCTTAGATGAACTTTTTATCTGTTTGACTCAAATCAAACTGTTGTTAGGATTATAGATAGATAACGAAATTAAAAGAATCTGAGTTTTTATTGAAATTATAAGTACTTTACTCAATCAACTATGCGGAAACATTCGACGATACATAGTGGAAACATACCATTTTTCTACACAACGTGACGAAAAATGTGTACTGCTATAATTTAAATAAGTAAAAATCGTTCATTCACATCAGACAACGATAGAGAAGACACTTGCCCACATTTTTGTACATATATTATGCTATGAGTATATACTGATCAACTCAGGATTTATAGATGACCAGTGAAACGAATAACAAGCGTGTCAAATATCGTTGAGAGAAAGAAAAACGTTCCGTTCAAAAAAACGTTCTTCTCTCCTACGATCGTGGTCGAATTTTTACGAATCGTTTTATTCGTTGTATTATAAATTACACAAAAAGAAAACAAAAGACGACACGAGATACCATTACAAAAATTAAACATAAATATGTATATAATATACGTATACGATTACTGAGGTATGTTGCATCGACGACAAATACGAAAAATCGGTACAAAGTACAGTGCGTGTAGATTCATGCATTTAAAAAATGTTATTCAAGGAACTCAAAAAGACATCGAAACATCAACAATTTGAATCGTCTGAAGCAACGATTCAATGATATTTACGACAGGGTCGGCTTTTAAATATAATCTGTATACTCATTGTTTAAAAGAATGCATTTTTGACTTTTCCTCACAAATATGTTAAGGAATTAATAATGTAAATTAAGTATTCTAAAATTACATAAGTCAAAGTTTCAAGTCTTTAATGTAGAACAAGAAATCTCAAAGAAGTAGAATCCAAGTCCGACCTTGCGAGAATGATAATTTCCGACTAGTTTTAAGACTTCCTAATCTTGCGAATGGACCCTTGATTTGGGGTTAATATTCTTACTGCTAAATTACAATGTTAATTTGCTTTGCTGAGGCTTTTGTATATAACAATCTGATATATTAAATTTTTTAATATAATGTTTTACCTATAAACCTTTTCCCCCCGATCTTAATCACGTTTAATCCCAAAATGATTAATTTACTTTCATTCGCGCGTCGTTTCGCAAAGAAAAATAGATCTTACGTGATATCAGTGCGAACCGCTTATCTACGCGCTTTCTGCTTTCCTTTAAATGACAGCGACCGCTTAAAAGTAATTGAATTAGTAATAAGTAAATACAGAACAAAAAGTATAAAATATCATAAGTGCGTTGAGTATAATGCGTTTCGTTAAATGTTGGATCTTCGCTTGGGGCTTCACACAAAGCTGATCCATTCGTGATAAAATCACATGATCGTTTGAATAAAAGTACATACTTGTCAAGAGAAGATATAGCGAATTCCGAAAAATCCATAATAAAAAAGTTGTTACGATAAAAAAATATAATACCGTTAAAAGGTATCCGATTCAATACTGGAGAAACCTCCCTTAAAAATACTGTGCAAAATACATACTCAACACTCACGTTGAAGAGAATCTTGTACAGAAGTGAGTGAATAGAGTGAAAAATACACGAGGGAATTCTTTCTGTCGCACCAAATGCCAAGATGTGTCTATATCATCTTGCCTCCGAAATTAATCTATTGTTTCAAATTTTGCGAGATAACAGCTCCAGTTTGTAGAACTGTAATTTACCCTTTTAATTCCAATCTAACAAAATTCTTCGCGTACGAGAATCGACCTACGCAATAAAAGGTGTTAAAGAATATTAAGTCACGTTATCGCTCTGATACGATGCAATACTTGAGAAGATACCGAAGCGGATCTCAGTTTAATAGGCTTTCGCTGCTAGGCCGTGGTTTGGTGACCAGATTCTGTAAGGCTCTTATCTCGTTCTCCGTGAGATCCGGAGGGCCGAACAGAAACTCCCTACGCGAACCCGGTTTGGACAGAAGTTCCTGCATATTCTTGTAAGTTAGCACCAAGTAATGTAGAGAGGTCTGTGTTATATTTACTTTCCTAGCTAATGTCCCGGTAATGTGAACGTCGTCGATCCAAAAGTACGGCTCTTTTTGCGCCTCGCGATATAAAAGGAATACGCTGTCGGGCGAATAGAGTATGGCCCATCCGGCGCAGTACGCGGGATAATGTCTACCAGGATATTCCTGAGGGGAGACCCTCCATTTAGAGCGCCAGGATCTCTTCACGTTGCTCCAGGAGACGAGGTCACAAAGTATCAACCGCCTAGCTCCCCATGGCGATAAATCACGCGTTAAGAAATCCAGCAACGCGGGTATATGAACAAAAACATCGTCGTCTAATTTTAGTATATATTTGGCACCTGAAATAAATGAAAGAAAGAAGGTTGAGAAATTATTATATGATAAATAATGGAAACAGAAATACAGGAGAAATCATAACTTACTTGGACAATGATACGTAGCCCATTTCAATGCCATTACATGCTTGTAAGTCATGTTCCTGTAGGCATCGAGAAAGTTGCCTTGTATCAAATCATTGTATCTCCTATTCTCCTCCTCGAGCTTCGCTTGATGCTCGTTCGACGAGCCGACGAGAAAGAGAAGCGCGACATCCGATGATTGCTGACCCCAGGTCTCCCTGACTACATTCCTCTTGACAAAGTTCTCGGGTGACGAGTGTACCAGCATCAGCAACAACGGGTGTGTCCGGTTGCACGGTTCATGATTGATCACGAACCGAAAGTCCTTTATGTCGATCAGGGTGGACTTGTCACCGAACGGAAGCTCGTGCAATAAGTACGGCTGCGGAGACGGAGTCGTGTTTCCGGGTAGGATTAGCACGTATCCAGGCGCCGAGACGCTGTTGATGTAAGGCGACCCGGAACTGTCTATGTGAAGCCAAAACGAGAAGCATCCAGTCAACGCCAAGACGGCCACGAAAATCAGAGTGCATGGCGACGAACCCGAGGCATGAAGTCGCCGCTTATCCAGCATACTAACGACTCCCTTACATCATATATGTCTGAGCCTGGCTAGAAAAAAAAAAAACAGTTCAATAGATAAGGGTGCAGATATGTAGGCTAGTCAGCTGTATCCTGTACATGTGCACTCTAAAAAAAACAGTTGATCAGTTATCGGATCTGGAAAACTCGTATTGTACCTGTCTGTCGTAAAGGCCACTACCTCAAACGTAGGAGGTATGTATGAATATTGTAATAGACAATTTTAAAAATGTTGATTTACGTAATAACAGTATAAAAGAATTGTAATGTACGGAAATTAATCCCATCATTAGACATTTATATGAATTACTTTCGATTTTCTTATTAGCATATATCTAGAGCCAGGTGTAAGGAAAATTGATTATTGATACTGCAAATGTACTTTAAATTAAACGCACACAATTTCGTGACGTACCTGAAAATCATTACTTATAAAAAATAGAAACTGCATTCTATGTAAACTATATTTGATACTGATCACTAAGAATACATACGCTTTAATATGCTTACGAGACATGATAACGTGCATTTATATGCATGTTTGCATTATTATAAACTATAGATATAGCGTACGGAAAAGAACTTCACTTTGCAAGCAGACTTATGTGAGTCATTTATTTCCTCATTGCCACAGCTGTTATATGTAATGAAAAACCTGCTCGATGCTCTTTATTTAATAACATTTACGTACATTAACTTCTACCGTTCGTCTCTTGAATTCCTTTTTATGTCCGTTTTTTATATTATCTTTAATTCAAGATCCATTTGAATAACCGAGACAAGTTTCACTGGCACTGTCTTCATTTCCTATTCTAGACTCTAGAGTCTAGACTGACGATACATATATAATATTAGCTTATATAACACAATGATAACTTTTGTAACGCTAATAAATATATTCCATGCGATAAGATTTGAAGTGGTGCCCAAATTGAGGCAATATCTATAGAAAGATAAGTCAAGTAGTATTGTTGTCGATAAATATTTGTAATCTAAAGCAAATGAAATGTACTTGTTGGCGATAGAATCGCTGTTGAGTACCCAGATAGACTTTCATGATCGTCATGAGATGTAGAAATTAATTTGTCAAAAATTGAAATCAATTTGTAGCAAATTCTGTTTGAACAAATGTTTATACAAATTTTATATCATATCGTGAGTTCAATTCGTAATCATGCAATGAACCAATACATTTGTAATATTTTTGATCACTATTGTTACATTGTTATATTCATATCAATTTTCTCAATGTAGCCACAGCATATGTTGTTAATTTGATATAAACTTTACCTATAGGTAAGACTTTTTCAATCCATAAGTAAGAGACTATACTATAAGTAATGATCGCAAAATCTACACTAGCAATGTGTGCGGTGACCTTAAGACGGTTCAAGGGTATTCAAGTTTCACTTACGTGAACCACAGTTTCAATTATAAGTTTCCTCTACATCATCTTGAATCTATACCCTGAATAATGTATAGACAGACAGGTATATAGGCATCTTGGTACTTGGCCTCTTAAATAATTTCCATCCTTCTCTCTTTAGTTCAAAGGTCCCGCATCAAGATATGAGCCATAACACGCAATTCTTCAGACGAATATTCTAATTATTTTTTGTCCTTTCGAAAGATATCTCTCTTTTCAATCGACTTGAAAATTTTACAAGAGGCAGCGTGAATGCGAAATGTAAAATTTTATATTTGCGTATCTACCCGGTTTCCAATATACATGGTAAAACAAAGATAACGTAATATTATCAGACATTCGATTAATCTACCCCCTCTCTCTTTTGAATGAATTTCGTCCGATAAAGGATAACGGATATGTAAACAATGTATGTAAAGAAGTAATGTACACGTATTTATATAGATATCGCATCATCAGTTATCGGTTACTGACCTATCTGACCATAAAAACTACCACAGCAAAGACTATTGCATTAATAACATGTGAACAGACAACATTCAATATAAGAGTCCTTGTATAACAATCACATAATTTTATTATCTTTCTTTCTTCGCGGAAATGAATAAATACTAGATTATATGTTGAACTTAAGACTCAGTCCTTTTTCCCCACTTTCCTGAAATTGCCAAACCAATCGAATAAAGAATATTATTATTTTCTCAGTGATATTAAAACTTTGTTATCTTTACTAATAAACAACGTATTTTGCTGTGGTCATTAACACATTATGGTTTCCTCATACGAATGTTTATTAGATTCTTATCAGTATCATACATTGCTCTCTTATCAAAGTTTATGCTCAGATATGTATGGATTTATTATGGGCACGGTTACACGCTAAATGACCGAGTCAAACTGGCAGTATTTAACGGTACTTAAACGGAGAAGCACATTTGTGTTTCTCTGTGGGAAATTATATTCCGTATACGAAATATGCTGTAATCCCTCATGTGCAGTGCTAATCGAAACGGTTTCCTTGAATTTATCCAGAAGCGTCGGCATAAGTTAGACGAAAGAAACATACAAGGGATGTGTTTTTGGCACGCTTCGAAAGTATCTGGAAACGAACGATGTCTCCTCACGGTAAGGGAAGTATTAACGATTTCTTTGCGACACAATCGAACGGTATCGAAGGGGGGGGGGGGGAACAGAATAGATAATGATTAATTTTCGAGTTGACTAAAATTAAATGCAAACATTTTATAATGTAAGAAAACCCAAGGGCATGGGACCCTTGACTGCGGTTCCGACCACTTATCCCTGCTGACAACGCGGAGTGATAAGTCCCAAATGCCAGGCGCCTAAGACCAAACTCTGTGTTAAGGCAACGACGGGACGCCTAACTTCCCCTGGAAAAAAGCTCCTCGGGAAAGTTACGCACCGATCACGTGCACAGCGCGTGAGGTGAGGGTGCTGAAACGTAGACCCTTCCCCATTGGGCCTAAGGCCAACCGTTTTTTGAAGAAGGACCCACAGACAATTTCTTTGCGGATCGTCGTGGCGTGTAGCTCAGGCATTTTTCCAGAATTGTGATTGCGAGAACGATAGCTTTGGTGTTAATTGAATCTGATAAAATTATTAAACCATTGTGCTTACAATAAGAAAACTTTTTTCAAATCGTATAATCCAAATTATCTAACTTAATTATCTAAATTAACTAATTTTCGACCTTATTAGCAAAATATGTGAAACCTGCCACATCTCAAAATTGGATAAAATTATCTGTCCTTGCTGTAGGCGCTTTCGTTTCAGTTCATTAAAAAAAAAAGGAAACGCTGTGTACAAAGCCACCTGCTAAGTCACTTCACACGCTTCATTAATAAGTCACAAAGAAACTTGTTACATGTCCTTCTGTCTCATTATTTTGGTAAATAATTTACAGACTAAGGTCCACGGCGATTTAAGATTTTCGACCTCGATCTCAGCTCCTGAATTCGTTAAAATCTTACGTTTATAAGGAAAATACTCGTTCCAAAAATAAACCTACGTCATTTGCAGAAGGCCAACTGAATTTCTTGCCAGATCAAGGACGCATATGGGTAGAAGGAAAGCTTGCAATGTGTTCGTCTAATATTCTATAATTCTTTTCTACGTTGTCGTTGTTCAAATGCTTCGATCGAGCGAGGAAAACAAAAGTCTGTACGCATATTAGAGAAAGCCGGTTGACAGAAAATATAGTGGAACTCCGACAAACATTTGAAGATCGCGTATCGTACAATAATGCGAAAAATTTGTACTTACAACTCGCGGCAATTTGAACCGAAGAGCAGTGAGGACTGTCTAGCATCCGTCACGAGGATGAAAATCTTATCTGGCACATTCGGCGCGGACGTGTTGATGCCCCGACTCTGCTGGAGCCTTTGGTATTACAAGGAGGTTTCTTCAGGTTATGTTGGACGTAACGGATTGTTGACGACAAGTAGATGTTCAGTGGCTGGACCGAACGTGCGACCAAAAGAGCTAATCAGCTACACGGACGTCAACACGACATCGATGTTCTATAATGCTTGACGGTTCTGTTTCTTTTTTTCCTGACACCCTTCATTTTTCTTCTATTTGTTTCTTGAATCGTAAACGCGACTGTCTACGCGACCGACGGATCGAACCATGTGCAGAAAAATTTGCTAGGAAGCGAAGCCAATAATGGAAAGCTGTAATAGAATACTGAAATCCGTTTATACCGTGAGTCGAGAGTTGACGTGGTTCTACCTGGCTTTATTACCCGCGTCTCGAGTACCACTGTACCTGGTTCACCTTAGTGTACCCGAGCATCCTAATTTCTAATTCTAGTCGAACGTCGAATCTTGAACGACTTTCCGATCCCCACAATCGAAGCGCAACTTTCGAGTGACAAAGTCCCATGCGGTTTTATTATTTTTATACATTATCGGTGTACTGATATTAGAATATGTCTTTTGAATATTATTTTTTGCATTTACATTCTCATCTCTACCGAGGCAAAAGAATGGCAGCGTCTATGTAATCATTCGGACTTGGGGTCTTGGGGTTGGAAGCAGCGCGCTCATATTTTTTCCCTCGGCCGAAAAGTGGGGACGACGCGACCATGGTGGGGACCATAGCACTGCGGAGAGCTTCGCGAACGCGCATGTGCACGCGTGAGGAGAATAGTAGTGGGGATCGAAATACGGGCGAAAAAGAGGGGAAGCGAGCCTCGAGGGAAAAAATATGAGCGCGTTGGAAGAGCCAAAGATAGCGAATGAGATTCAAAGTTTGGCGCGATAGGCAATAAATAAACGCAAGATCCCAGCATTATCGATCTTATACCGGAAATCGAGAACGTCTGAACGGACTCTGCTATTGAAATCAATTTCATCTGTTTCGAATCCAAGTGCAGTAATGTATTTTACAAATGAATAATTCTTATTAATAAATTAATGGGAACGAATCTTGGCATTTTTATTTCGATGAGACCAAAAATATGACCCTACTTTATGCCATCGTCCTTCAGGTCTATGTATAAATAGGTGGAGACGATGGATACATGAATAGATATTGCAATATCCATGTAAATGAATAATAAATAAATGGATGTATGTAAATCACTATCATTGGTCTAGTGACTTTTAGTTTCTCATTGTGGTCATTTGAACCTAGCCTTCTCATTCTGACGTTTAGAAATTTGACGGCGGTCAGTGTTTATTGCAAAAAAATGTAATGGCAATGTGTGAATAACTAATTTTCTTGTTTTTTCGAATACAAAAATAAGAGACCATTAAGTTCCGACGGAATGCGTAATGTGACATTTGGTTCAAGTTCCTTTTGCAATCATTTATTTTTAGCACAACAGGAATTTCTTCATAGACGAACCTATCATCTTGTCGAGTGCATTAATTCACAAGTGCATAAACACAGGTACAACGCCTTGTAATATCTTGTTAAATGTTTTATTAGGAACTGTACGAAGTCGGGTCAGCGATAAACACGTAACCAGCATTAGTCATATCTAAATTGCATCACGTCTTCAAGGATTATTATGTTGTCTCTAACTAATTTATTATATTATACTTTAGTATCATTACAAATAAAATATATCGATTTAAATATTTATACTCTGCAACGGTGTTTTACGCCCTCTTGATTTTCTAGATCGTATCGTAAATCAATATTAATGTACATAAGTAGAAGCTTTATGTAATAACTATTTCGTTTAGAATTTTAAGAAAATAATTGGTAAAATTTTAACTGTGTAGTGATTTTTTAATAGGGCTCGTACATTGAATGGAATTAATATATCAGTTTATATTCCAGATAGTATTAGGAACATCAGCAGCCTGAAATATAATGATCTCAGAACTAGGCACAGAAGGCTTTCAGCCAACGACATGTTTCACAGAAGAAAGCCTATTCAAGCTACAATGTTTAATCAAAGCAACTGAGATACAGCACAGTGCTCATTGCGAATATGGAAAGAGATTGTTCTTAGCACTTACAACTGGGAATGCTGAGATCTTTTTATATTATAAGAAGGATTCGCTACCTGCCCCAGTAATTAAAAGGATACCCTGGTTTCAAGGATCTCACAAACAAATTACAGCTCTATGTTTCAATCGTGTGGGAACATTATTGCTCTCTACAAGTGCGGACGGATCTGTATATATAATTCCAGCTCTGTGTTTTGTGGATGAAACATGTGAGAAAGACAAAAGATGGACCAGTAATGATATCACTTCCTTCCCTTCTATTAGTTCACAAGCGTCTCATTCAAAGTATGTAAAATTGATCACTGTTGTGGTTTAATGTTTCCCTCGTACTTCAACGACTTGATCTTTTTAGACCGACTGCGATAGTATGGTGGCACAGCACGGTAGTACCCGCTGAAATCGGTATCATCGGAAGTGAATATGGGGAGATTATATTTATAAATCTAGAAACTGGCCATCAAACGAATGTTACGCAAGTTAGAGGGAACATTGCCAGTTTACACATTTGTCGCGATCAAATTAACGATATCGTGTCTCTCTTGATAACGAGCCAGTCTAGAAGGCAATGGAGATTGCTTCTGGAACAGGATACGTACAGTTGCCTCCATCACTTGGAGAATGGAGAATCGTATAATCCGTTGCATACAAACGATAACATGTACGATAATACGAAAATATTTGCTTCTACAAGGTCTAGATTGCAAGGACTCAAGCAATTATCTGTGGACAAGCTTGCTATATTCAGGCAAAAGTTAATAGATACAAAAAGTCAGACATTAGGAGAGAATTTACAATATCATGGTCTGTGTGATACGTTAAATGGTCTTCAGAATTTAGATAAAATATTAATGTTATTTTTATTAACATCACAGATGTTACAAGTAACCGAAATACTCATAACACGACTGTTAATTCTGATTTCTCTGTGGAAGTGAATCAGAATCAGATAACACCTGAGGCAATGGCGAAAGATGCGTTCCTGATGTCTCAATTAGACAGGGAGGGACGACAATTGTGTACATGTTACTATTCTACTACAAATCAAATATTGGTAATTGCTTTATTCATTTTTAATCACATTGCACTTGTTACGATTTTTGATAATTGATATTACAGGTATACGGACCTAACTTTACTACTATACCTGTATCAGCGCATAAAGTATTTGAATCATGTAAAAGTGCGTTATTAACTCAACGATTTTTTTTTATCACTGACGCCAGTGAGCACGTAATGTACGTAATATCAGATAGATTATCTGAGATTCGTGAGGGTGATAGCGGTAAATTTAATCCAGAGTGCATTGTTGGTCACTTTTCTCTAGTGCATAATAAAGAGGTAATACGCTCCGTATACAGAGCTACTGATTACACGAATAATGCACCAACAACAGTCTCTGAAGAAATGAAAAATAAGTACACTTTTCCAAGTGGGATAAAAGATATTAGAATCGAATTACCTCATGTGGATACTTGTATAGTTGTTACAAATCATTCTGTGTATAAAGTTGTTTTAAGGTCAGTGTTACATTCTTTTCATGAACAACCATTTTTCTGCCGATGTAAAAAGTAGTCTATCTTCATTTGTAGAAAGTCGATATTATCAATTTTTATGGAATTAGTATTGAAAAATAATGAATTGGAGAAGGCGGCAAAGTTGGCGATAGTGTTCGGTATTAATGCGCAACAATTGCTGGAGCAAGCCGGTGATATTCTTTGGATGAATAAGGAATTTCCGCGCGCAGTCGCTTGCTACAAGTTGTCTAAAGTAAGTATGTAATATAAAAGGAATGTAGCGTTGCGCAAACTTGTATAACGTTTATTACTATTTTTAGTGTAGAATAATAAAAAGTACTTTAAAATTTGCGTCCGTTGGATACACGGCGGATTTGTTGCGTGGTCTCACACACTGTTTAGCTTCTTCAGCTATTAGCGAGCTGCCCATTGCACCAAGGATACATCTCTCAAACTTGTGTGTTCTTGCGTTTATCGAAAGAACTCTTAGAATTTCGTCTGAGAAGTCCAAAGCTATATATAAAGAGTTTTTGTAAGTACTTGAATAAAAAGGTCATATAGGTTTGGTATAATAGAATCTAATGATAATCTTTTGGATCGTAGGTATTTCTTGTCTACAAATTCTTTTTACGATGAACTGTTGGCGGTTAATATCGCTGGACAGACCTGTCTCTGGGAAGTGTTACATCATCTGGCAACGCAGAAGGGTCTTTATGGGCAGATGCTGGATATTCTTATGAGGACAATACACAATTTCCAACCATCACCATGTATGTAATGCATAATTATAATGACTATACAATTGACTTAAAAGTTCTCTTTCGATTGGTTATCCTTCTATTTCAGACGGTTTGCTCATATGTATAAGCGAGCCAAGTTTATTGCAAGCCATGTTAATATATCCTGAGTTAGCTAAAAGTCATATGTCTTATATTCTTCATAATCTTCAGAACTCTCAAATTTTTGTACTCCAGGTAAGATTTAAATTGCGTTTCGCTAACGTAATGCAGATCGACGCTTTTATACACATTTCATTATTTAGAGATTAGTTACGTTGTACGATCCAACGAACCCAGTGATAAGACCTAGAATAGTGCAGTGCCGATCACGTCATAGAACTACGTCAGTTAGTTCTCAATCTAGTCAATGTGATTCCATAGATCTCGTGGAAAATGTACGTACTATTGATTCATTGACATAATTTACTCTGCCTAATTATTGTGTAATCAATATTCTTTTTTATTGTAAACGTAGGATGAGGCTGATATCTTGATAGAGGATATTATAGAGACATTTTTACTAATTCTATTGACTTTGATTAACAAAAGATCTATTTTACATCAAGAGACGTCTCCTACGTGTAGCATTGAATTATTAGGACTGAAGAAGGTAACTATTCCTCAAGTCAATCGGTTTTATGCACATATACCACTCTGTTCTATATGATCTACAGCAGGGACATAGAAACAGTAACATTGCTGATTTCAAAAGGAGGCCGCTGTGCGCCGGCTTTTCTCACGTTGTTCTTATCAGAAACGGGAACGTTTACACGTGGGGAAGTTCTGTACAAGGCTGCTTAGGTGAGAGTCAATAAATGAGAGAACTAAACCTCCATATCTTATGTATATTATATTTACATTGGACTATTAATAGGGACTGGCCCACTGCTGTTGAGGTATGGTTCATCACAGGCTATAACTTTCTTCCGAACCATGGAACTCCAAGTTCTGAGTGTGTCTTGTGGTCACTGTCATACTCTGGTCGTGACCAACAACGGCGTGTATGCATGGGGTTCGAGCCAGTTTGGTCAGTTGGGTCTCGGCAAGGTTTTACAATGTTCGACACCCGAACTGATTACTTCCTTGGCTCAAGAAGTTGTAATTGATGCGGTTGCCGGACAGTATCATTCGGTCGCGCTAACCACGGATGGCAGAGTTTTCACGTGGGGTTGGGGCGTTCACGGCCAGTTGGGTCATGGTAATACTGACAAAAAGTTGACACCCACGCTGGTCACGTCTTTATTAGGTACAGTCATACGTTCCATCAGCGCGGGCCACGCACATACATTAACACTCTCGACGGAAGGCATCGTGTACGCGTTCGGTTGTAACATTTTCGGGCAACTGGGCATTGGAAGTAACGTTAAGAGTTCTGTGCCAATGAAAGTATTATTGCCGGAAAGAATATCTCTTATCGCAACTGAATATTTTCATAATGTAAGTAAAAATATCTCGGTCATTTTAGTAGTCGTAGTAATAATAATGTTGGTTTGCGATAGCTTGCTGTTAGTTATACGAATAAGCTGTACGTATGGGGAGCCAGTCCCCAAGTCCTTCGACTGCAAGCGCAAACGCAAAAGAGGACTCGGATATTGGAACAACGAGACGGAATCATCAAGCAGTTTGAAAATATTGACGAGTTTGAGAAAGTCGTGGATTCCGCGATCGGGAATGATGGGAACGAGGAACCTGGAGACAAGGAGAGTGCACAACACAAAAATGCACAAGCGAAAGCGAGCGGAAGCAGTACAGACTCGCGAAAAAGACAATTGGAAAAGCTGTGTATGAAGAACGTAAACGTTGGCTCGCTCGAAGAAGCTCAAACACACTTAAAACCTACCATAGTAGATACAAGCTTAGTCAAAGGGGATATTGTACAAGTCAGTCAAATAATTCTCGAAACATACTTGTTTTACATGTCAATTGAATATTTTTATGACTAGTTTTAACACTTTATCAACAGATATCGACTGGTTGTCATCATAACGCGCTCGTTACGAAAGACGGATCGTTGTACACGTGGGGTAGAAACTTGGATGGTCAACTAGGCAATGGTAGCAGACGCGAAATACCAATTCCGAAACCATTGTGTTACAATCCTGCTTCGATATTTGCGCAAGTACCTCCGAGACATAACGCATATAAACGAAGCGAAGAGGAACAAGAGTTGGACGGTGGGGCTAGAAATTTTGCGACGAACGAGAGAAACGGGAATCAGCAAGATGAAGTTAGATCTTACCAATCAGAAAATGAGTTTAGGGAAAAGATAAATCCCATAATTAAAACTGTGGCAGCCTATTGTGGGTACGATTATACGGTCGCTATTCAACCAGGTATTTACTATTTCGAAAAGTGTTAGAGGAACTTGAAAAATATGATCATCATGCATTATTCATTTTCCTTTTGATTTTTATCAGGAGGCACAGTTTTGGCCTGGGGTAATAATAGCAGAGCACAATTGGGTCGGCTTCCTGCAAAGGACACGCATGACACTGACACCGACAAGCTTGTACTGATTAAAAAGCGAGTAGTGCGGCTGCCTCATGCATCACACGTAGCATTGGATGTGCCAAGCCAAGTTCCTAATATTCCCGCTCCCATAATTTCTTATCAGAGTTACGACGTACCTTCTCTGGCAGACGCTATTCAACCTCTAAGTGTCATCGAGAAATCACCAGGAGAGTTGACGTTGCATTACGCCTTAGAGTATTTCTCTGGTTTATACGATGCCTCGAGAATCTCAGAAAAGGTTCGTCCCTTCCACTGCTTTAAAATTGTGTCTTTGATTAACCTTGCCACTAATTATACATATTTTCAGTGCGTCGAGTTGGGAAACTATCAAGCTTGCTCAAAGATAGCTATGTTGCAGCATAATCTTTCTGATGCGTTCTCGTATCAGTTGAAAATTCTGCACGCACTCAGCGTTCGATCTTGCTTGAAAATGAAATCGGAGAACGCGCGCGAGAAAATGAAACGAAAATCCACAGAGGAATTCGACTTGAGGAAATCTTCGTCGATGCATCACGTTAAGAAGAATACCGAATTGTTTAACAAACAGGTGGAAAAGAATTTGATAGACTCTGTCGAAGATTGCGCGGTTAAGAATAAAGTGAAAATTCCGGCAAGTAAATCGCTAAACAGTCTGCAAATGCTTCAACAAGAATTGTATACGTTCGACTGTCAAGGCGGCCTGGAAGAATTATGCAAAGATGTCAAATCCGAGAACCCACATTTGGAGATCTTCGAAAATAATTACGATTCCGACGTTAGTTCCAAATCGGATGACTGGATGGAAGATCTTGTCTTCAAGGAGAACCGATTGCGGAAACACGAGAAGGCTATCAAATGTACCGATGACAGTTCAGGAGCTTCCACCCCTATGAAGGAAACAGCTGATACATTATTAAAGAATAGTGGATCGCATTATGATGAGAAAACTATACGGTCTTGGCAGAATAATGTAACCAACGAAGCTATAAAAGTAATCAAATTCTTTCTCAACGAGATGGAACACGAAACAGACATGGTCAAGTGTAAAATATTACAAGACGCTCTTGATTTTTGGATCGAGCACGAGTTACCGGTACAGAGTATAGAGAATTTATTACTAGACCATATCCAATCGATTTATTATCCCCTTGGACTATTATTATTCTGGTAAATTTGTTATTGGCATATAATTATCATGTTAGTGGAAATAGGATTGTTATACAATATTTTTACAGCCAAGAGATAATGGACAAATATCTGGATACGAACAAGAACGATACTGAAACCAAGAACATGGCCGCAATCAATTCGTTCTCCGTCAAATTCTGTCTTCAAGTGTGTTCCATGTTAGTACGTCATATCGAACAAGGTACATGAACGAACTCATATATTAATTACATGATACATAATTTCTACTTTATAATACTTTATCAAATGTTTAGGTGAACCTACGCCTGAATATATTAAACTGCTATCTTCTTTAACGGCCGACCAGTACGGGTCACCGTTGACTGGTTATCCAGGATCAAGCGGAAATGACACTTTAGAGCAAATGATGGAAGGAGTCACAAGTACTTTATCCTCTAATGTCCATGACTCGAAACCATTTGTACATATTAAGGTAGATTGCAATATTTATATTGCTTCGTCAACTTTTCATCTTGTATTAATTTTAATGAATATTTGTTTGAAATTAGGATCCGGATGCAGTGTATCGATTCCTCGACACTGAAGAAGACATGATGATATTCACGTGTGGGCATCATTTTCTCATGACCACGTATAAAACCGAAGTGATCCCGATGATGGAAACTGAACTTTTGACGTCGGAATCGCTAGTGCTTCCGTGCACAGCGCAGTACTTGGGGAAAATGTTTGCGCAGACGACTAAACCGGAAATACTGTGCCCATCGTGTGTACCAAGAGCACTGGAAACGTTGGTGAGGAAGCATAATGGGTGAGAAGTATGTACCTGAGATTTTATTTTAACGAAAACAAAAGAAGAGAGAAATTTATACACAAGTTTTCAACTCTAAAGAGCGAACGTTCTACATGAACTCTGACAAATGACACTGCTAAAAAGACACTTGCTATCGCGATTGGAACGTTTTCTTCGACATATAAAAATGAATTCAAAGAATTGAAAGCTCTCTATATCTTCGAAGTCGTATTCTGTAGATTGTACAGGTAGCAACCAGAATTTTTTGAACGCATTGTTCAGTGCGTGCAAACTTAGTCTGCACTAATTTTTTTATTGAAAATGTACGTCTCGTAAAATACTAGGAAGATTATTTCGTTATAAACGCACACTGCTACTGAACATATTCTCTGAAACTAGGTATTATGTGTTCATAGATCATAAAGTGATAATACTTTTAATATTACCGTAAATTAAAGAACGATACTGTGCATTGGTATCTTGCGTATCGTACGTGTACAACTTCGTGCGTCGTACAAAACTAGGAAAAAAAATAATTATAATGAAATATATCGTCTTCAATTAAAGTTAGACATGTATTGAGTGTAAATGCAGTTAACTTTACATTTAGACTTTGGGGGAATCGATTAACTCAAATACAACGATGTGATGCGAGAAACCGAAAGAATCGCTTCATTTTATACTTCTTTTTGGAACAGTTTTATCGTATATTATAATTATACACATTTTTGAAAGTCTTTAATTAATGCAATAATGTAACAACACAATGAGTTTTAATTCGTAATCATCAAATATTCGTTGCAAGCATTATATTACAAGTTAGCTTCCCTACAATTTTAAGTTTTTGCAAGTCAATAGTTTGTTAGTGAAATCTAGTACAGATTATTATATTTCAGTTTTTAGTAAAAAATCGATATCAGTTATATTACATGCATAAACGGCTATAAAAATATGTAAACAATTTCGCGGCCAACGTAGTAATTTTCTTATTACACAATTAATTAATTGAACCTGATGGCCAGTGTACAAAACAGGCCCAAGTATTTTCTCTTTTCTCCACAACTTTACCAAGGCTCAGGGCATACTCTTTCGATATTTTACTATGCAGAAAGGAAGAGTACACGGCTGTACCAAAGTAGTAACTAATTCGTTAACCAAATGTTAATTATTGTGAAATTACAACACTTTATCGTGTGGTAGTTGTAGTAAAGTTGTAAAATGTACATGAGAGAGAACAAAGCAATTGTTAAAGAAATTCGTGGCAAGTGCTAGGAACTAACGAAAAATTTATTTCATCTAGTCTTTAAAGTATTGTATACTGGAATATATTAATTGAACTTAGAGATTGGGAAGGAAAAGCCAATAAAAGATGATGTACTTTGTGTGATTCTTGACGATACCTGTAACTGATCAATATTAGATAATCGATGTGTTATCGTGGTAGCAAGGTAAAAGTGAAATTGTATATAGATAGTGAACTATATACTTTTTCTTACAAATGGGCCAAGCTCATTTAGCTCATGGGCATATATTGCTTCACTTTTTTTTAAATACCATAGATTTATGACATATTCATGTCGAAATAGAATTTCTTCATTATTATTTTAGCGATCCGTAAGGACCAAGTTTTTAGAAATAATCAATACAAATTTATCGTTAAATTAAACAATTAGCCTCGTTGGACTAAATGGAAATGAAATATACTTTCCGCACAAAATAATACAAGTTAAAAATTTGTTTACCGTAACGAAACTAATTATTTACAAACACGTGTATGGAATCTTGAAGAAGTGTTTCAACAATAATATCTTTCACAGTTAGCAAATCTTCCTACATATAAAAATGAAATTCGCTTTTATTTAAATCGCAAAGAGATGTCTTCTTGTTTTGTAATTATTTAAATTATATGCTTTACATCTTGCCAAGAGTGGTGTATAAATTTCGTATTGTCTATTTTTTTAAGTGATCAATTGTTATCTTCTCTTTCTTTGTAAAAAAAACTTTAAATAAAGAAACAAGAACAGCTGTTTTGAGAAAAGTGCAATATTTTAGGTACAAGTTATGTTGAATATCATTTAAAATCCACGTGTTTCACACGCGTGGCACTTTTTTCCTATTATAATTACAGTTAAATTTAATGTAATATATTTTGAGACAAGGTACAATACGTATTATGTTATATTTCCGATGTGTAAGACAGTCTTCTAAAAATTATTTCTCGCTACTTAATATACGGGTATAAGTATTATGTAAAAAGTTATCTAATATTATTGTCAAGAAATTTAAACAAATTACATTGTCTACTCCGCATCCATTTATTTTCTTGTATATGCAATACAAGTCACATAATATTGGTTGAGATGAAAATTTGTTTAAATTTCAACGATCGTTCACAATTAATAGTTATCTGAAACGAAATGTTGTGTGCATTGCGTTCCCAAATCCTTAATTGTATACGACTGCAATAATTCTGTAATATATATCCGAATGTACAGGTTTGAATGTCTTAATATATGAAGTCTTTCACTGAGTAGTATTTAGAATATTAACGTATTTAATGAATAAAGTACGATTAAGAAATATACTGTTTCTCACCTTTAATGCAAACGCTCACATCTATCCTCTTGAGTCTCGAATTTTCAGCAGGCTATAAAATATACGGGTGATCTCTTGCTTTCTTAAACTTTTTATTTAAAAAAATCATATCCAAAATACATTTTTTTTTTAAACCACTATTGGTGGACTCATTTACACACTCTTGCATGCGGACCCTTACAATAACTATTTGAAATAGTAGTGAAATAAGTTTCTGATAATGAATAGTCGAGAGAAGAGGCAATCGTTCGGAATGCAACGAAAAATATTTCAATGATTGTGATGATCGTTCAAATAGAACTCGTAATACTATTGTGCGCGATATTTCAAGTGTATCTCGAAATCACTCACTATTAAAAGAACAGAATACGTTAGATAATATTATGTGTTGTTATAATATTCAAAGTAAATCTCAATGCAGTAGATTATTGAACCTTAGAAAAATTATTCTTTTAAATAACGAAAGGTATTCCGTTGATTAAATTTAATTAAAATCCAGAATCGAGACGATTTTATTTAAGTTGTTCAATATTAGAAGCAAGCTGGTCAAGCTCTGCACGAATCGTTGCGGGTAAATCGTCCCCAACTTGCGCGTCAAAGTATTCTCTAAGGTCCGCTACTTCCTTCTGCCAGAAACTTTTCGGTATTCTAAATAATTCCTGCATATCAATCTTTGTCTTCATGTTCTCTAAATTGAACGAGTCGAATTTGGGAAGAAAACCTATGGGAGAGTCCGTGGCGACGTCTTCGCCGTCTATTCGACGAAGAATCCAATCCAACACGCGTGAATTTTCGCCATATCCTGGCCAAAGGAATTTTCCTTCCGCGTTCTTTCTGAACCAGTTCACGTGGAATATCGTCGGCAGTTTGGCATTTTGTACTTTAGCTAGGCTCAGCCAGTGATCGAGATAGTGTCCGAAATTGTACCCGAAGAAGGGTCTCATTGCGAACGGATCATTCATGATTACCTTGCCTTGATGCTCCGCCGCGGCCGTAGCTTCAGACCTCATCGAAGCTCCGATGAAAACTCCGTGCTGCCAATTCCTAGCTTGGTATATTAGAGGTACACCCTCCGGTCTTCGACCTCCGAAAAGGATCGCGTCTATCGGAACGCCGGTTGGATCCTCCCAATTAGGATCGATGATGGGACACTGCTTGGCCGGGGTACAAAATCTGGAGTTTGGATGCGCTGCGGGTGTCTTGGATTCTTTGGTCCATTTGTTGCCTCGCCAATCTGTGATTTCGACATCGTTGCTAATTTCTTTTTCCAGTCCTTCCCAATACACTCCACCGTCACTGGTAGCCGCCACGTTGGTGAAGATAGTATTTTTAAAGATGGTCTTCATAGCGTTGGGATTGGTGGCAGAGCTGGTACCAGGAGCCACACCGAAGAATCCATACTCCGGGTTTATGGCACGAAGTCTGCCGTTTTGATCGAAACTGATCCAAGCGATGTCATCGCCAACGCATTCGACTTTGTACCCGGGCAACGTCGGCTGCATCATAGCCAGATTGGTCTTCCCGCAGGCACTGGGGAACGCCGCGGCAACGTACCGCTTTTTACCTTTCGGATTCGTGATACCCAGTATAAGCATGTGCTCGGCGAGCCACCCTTCGGATCTCCCGATAGTGGAACCGATTCTCAAAGCGAAGCACTTTTTACCGAGCAGAGAATTACCACCATAACCACTCCCGTATGAAACTATCTCATTTGTCGCGGGTTTGTGAAGGATTATGGTCCTCTCCGGGTCACAGGACCAAGAATGGTTAACATCAACTTTCGAATCAGACGTTGGAACACCGACGGAATGTAGACACTTGACGAAATTGTCGTTACCGAGGATATCCAACACTTTTTTACCCATCCTGGTCATTATTTTCATGGAACAGACGACGTACGGAGAGTCTGTGATTTCAATTCCGATTTTTGATAGAGGCGAACCCATTGGTCCCATGCTGAAGGGAATCACGTACATTGTGCGATCTTTAAAATATTGAAACGTTATCGTTAAATGTTTTACTCGGCGGCTTGACAAAATTACTATTTAAAAGTAAAACACCTTTCATGCATCCTGGGAAACGTTCTAAGACAGCTTTATTCATATCAGTCGGGGAAATCCAGTTGCCCAGTGTTCCGACGACACCGTCACGAGTTTTTGGAACCACATCACGTTTTGATTCCGTGCTGATAAATGTTCGTTTCTCGACGCGCGCTACATCCGCTGGATTCGTTCTTGCAAGCCAGCTAAAACCCAATTGCCGAGTGTTTAAAATATTCAAAAGCTTCTGTTAAAATTGCAGTATTGAGTGTTTTAATATTAATTTACTGCATATACAATATCGTTTTCTTCGAACGTAACAGACGTTATTATAGACTACACGCGTATCATGTGTCTGGTTCGAAAAATTTATCGATTACTTATTGCATTATAAATACAACTGATGATTTACTGTTAAGAACAAGAAAAGATTTGGAAACACTCAAATACCCGTACCAGTTTTCATATTTCGGCAAACGTGTAATCGTTCCGCTCTTTTCTAAAAGCTTCAACAGGTGATTGTATTCTGCGTCGCTTCCATCGCAGATGTAGATATCTTTCGGACAGCAAAGAGCTGCGCATTCCTCGATATATGAACTAAGTTTCGGGGCAAGGGGTTCAGTCAGAGTATTTAGCAACGGTGTTTTTCCAATGTACGTGTAAGTACTGCTGACGGACGGGTTCTTTGCTACATTGGTAGCGAACGTGGTCACTCTGAAAATACATTCTCCTTATATTTCGCACGTTTCCTCCCATTTCTAACAGTGCCAAAGACTGAGCTCCGAATGTGAATAGTGAATGGATATGTGTCGAAAGATTTAATCGGTTTTCACTACGTAGCTCTGGAAAGTGTGTTAAAGGAAAATTCACGTTGGAAATCTGATCTGTCGGTGAATTGCACGGTCACTTTTCATTGATGACGTCGAAAACCTGCAATAATCTCTACCTTTCCCTCTTACTAGCAAACCTGTTACCTTTAAAAGTACATGCTCTGGTTTAAAAATAATTACACGCTTCAATGCTCATAGTACGATGCAAGTAAAGAACACGGAATAGTTTTCTTATTCAAATCTGTACAACAATTTTATTTGCACAATTTAACAGAACTCGTGTATTAAGATTGTGCAATTTCTAATAAAAACTACTAAAGAGAGCCGACAAGAGCAACAGTTGAGTGTCCATCCAGTACCACTTGTCCATGATTTTAAGCTGTACTTACTGTGGATAGTAAACGTCAACTGCGTGCGGCATTTCGATGGTATTCGGAGAAACCGTTCGATGTTTAAGAATTGAGAAACGCGCCGTTTGTTGCCGTTTGGTACTGAACGCGTTGATCGGTCTCAAGTAGTGGAGACTCCTCCGAAAAGCGACGGAGGTTCCTCCGGAGGGAACTGTGGTGAAATTTTTACCAAACCGAAAAACGTTGCTGGCGAAGCTTGACCAACGTATCGGATCGATTCTCGGCAACATGGTACTGCGTTTCTTGCTTTTATACGATCGACAAGGATTTCGTAGCAAGCCCTAGCCACCCGGTCCACGGATTGGCCGCGAAAACTTCCGCTGGGTAGTGGGGAGTCGTATGCGGAACGAGTGCGGAATCGACGTCAGACTTTGAAATACTTTGAATCAGTTCGTGGCTAATTGGCCTTGCCGATTGTTCCTCGTGCGATTCATCCACTCGAAGCGGAGAACGACGCAAATTTCTACCTGATCTCGAGCAGACTTCGTGAAAGAGATCGATGCGAGATGACTCGAAGAAGCTTGAAACTGCAAGATGTTACGGAACCAAGGATCAACAGCGGGTTGAATCGATAAAGATGAAGAGTAAACTCAGCCGGTCGATGAAGTTCAGGCTTCGATGCTGCCACGATTATGCATACGCGATGCCGACTATTTAGCGTGTCGTGAATTCGTTGCGGCGAACGTAGTGATAACGGTCGATGACACGAAGAACTGCACGCTGGAAAGGCTGATTGGAACTGGACGGCTAATTGAGCCGCCAGGCTGGTATCGAAACGAAATCGGTTGCACTTGCTCCGAGTCGTTTTATACCTACCATGATACCGTTACGGCGTACTTGCTCTTCTATTTTTGCGCCAACACTTTCGCTTTGTGCCTATCTAACGCAACACGCGGCACACCGACGACAGGGCCACATGCCCGCGTAATTATCTTATGCAGAACGGTGCACTCGTTCGCCGCATTAAATACCGAGTTCGAGTGTGCCTCGAGAAACGATAATTATTGCGGCGGCGCCGGGACACGCGTTTTATTTACATTACTCGAAACGATAACGGAGAGGTAGTAATTAGAAAATGGTTGCACGATTTATCGCATGCAACTTTAAAGCATGGGAGTTCAAGACAGATCAATCTTCTAATGAGTCAATACAGTATCTTTACTCGATGATTCTTAAAGACTATTACTGTCAGATCTGGGCAAAGTACGCCAGTCTGAAACATGTCAAAAAACATTGCTTATCATTGCTGTGTCATTGTGATGAAAATTTTGAACAAGGTCTAATCACCTCCTTTTACTTAATGTTAATATGAATCTGACATTTATACGTCAGTCTCGTATTCTATTAGATCATTCTGGGAATGGTTAAATGGATTGTAAATTAACGTTGGTTAATGGTCGTATCTAATCTGTGAGACGCTCGTTCAAAGTACAAGTATCAGAAATTGTCAGAATTGCTGTCATAAATGAATCGACCTGCTGGAAAGGGAATATGTTAGTGATGCAATTCTAATTCCGTAATCTGTGATCTCGTCCTCGTTAGGATATTGATTAACTGCTAAACATTATTTTGCATTCGTCAAAAATAAGCCTCGTAATGTCACTGTTTCTATATCAGTGATGAATAAATATCAGCTATTTTGTATTGAATTTCATATTTAGGGGACTATGTTATTGCAGTGGAAAAAACCTGGCAAATCTATTGTCTCGAATGTAAACAAATCGTTAATATTGTTTTCTCCTCGAATCATCGTAATAGATCCCTTGTTTCTCTTTTTTATCTCAAGTATACGGGATTTGCGAATTATCGCGACCAGACAGTGAACTACGGACCAGGTCACAACCAGCGGGACGTATTCTCATAATGAGTTCAAAAAACAAAAGTAAGACTACTGCAATTGACACAATGAATAAGATAAACTTAGGGCGAAGATCGCGATCTGTCGATTGCCACGTGTTCTCAGCATAAAACTATTGATATAAAATGGATCGGATTATCTTTATCTATTTGCGGTCTTTTCGTTTAAATCAAATGCACTACAGCTTACAATATTCAATCGTATAAAAATAGAAATAGCGACTAGAAAATTAATTAGTTCCCGTCGAATGTTCGCGAGGTGAATTATAGCGAGGGGAAAAAGAGAAGCAAAATTGTTCAGGGAAAGGAAATGTGTTTGCGCGCTATATTTACGCACACTTTATATAACGTTCTTGAACGCTTTGTTCAAAATTCTGTCATCATAATTAATATGTTTGATGAATCGCAATAGGCTCGCAGATAACGAAGCAGGTAATTTCCCACAAGTATTTATAGTTATGATTCTAATACATCTTAATGATTTAGATAAATGCGAGACAATATTCATTTGAATGGTTTAACAATAGAAATAATAAGTTCACGTCGTGATGAACTATACTATAAAGCCATCTCGTTTATCAATGCATAACTTTTCCTCATTCTCCCTGATTGATTACTGGTAGTCCGGGAGTCGATAACACTTTTTAGTGACCAATCGAACCAAGGTTGATTTTTAGCCATATGCAAAACTTTTATAGGGTACGTAAGCGAAACGACCTTCAGCTACCACTTCCCGGGTGGTGTGGTCTTCAACTGTGCCGTGAAATTTTCGGAAACGCGAAGAATCAGCCTTGGTTCGATCATTACCCTTAAAATGTCGCAGGCTCCCGGATTAATTTACTACACAGGCCAGACAGAGGATATATGACACAATGCGTCTTGCGGAACCGGCGGAATGATACAAGGATCGTGACCGATCGCTTTTTCAACTAAAACACAGATATAGCGATTTATATTTTAACCGTTCACGTTGTGTAACATGTTCTTTCTTTTTTGCCCTTTCTCCTGTTTTTAATTCTTTTCCTTCGATCGACTCCCGTTTGCTAATCGACCTGATTTCCTGCATATGCCGCCTAATGATATTAGAAATTTTTCTTTGATTAATTATGAAAAATTTCTTTGATTAGTTATTAATTGACGCAATGAATCAAAGTGTCAGCCTTGACAATGCCGCATAACATTTGCGAATTTTTCATACAGCAAACCGAACGTTATTTATATCGTTTATCAGTAAAATTGCAGTGTACATAAACAACATTTAAGTTTAATAAGCATTCAGACTGATAAGCGTTTGATTACAACAGAAGAAGAAGATGAGTAATAATTGAAAACGATCGTTAGACATAAACAAAAACAATTCTGAAACATTGCAAAATGTTTCGCCACTTATCAAAGTTTATGTGTCAAAGTAATCAATAGTTATGGTTCGTAAAAATATTACTTATAAAAATAGGGATGAAGTTTCATTGCGAATAATTATATAAAATTGTTGCGATTTAATGTGTTATTTCTTCTGGCCTTTGTTCATCTCATTGATTTTTATGTCCCCTATGACGAAAGATTTTTTTGTTATGAATTATTATCAATGCTTGCTTGCAACAGCGACGTGAAATTTGGACTGTGACGATTACCAGTATTTACCTGACCCTTCCGCTTCGAGTTTTGAGATCGCACGCGTGGACCTTGTCGTGTCAAGCGATCGTGTCAAATCATTCGAATTAATCTCTGGATGTTGAAAAATAATATTTACGTTCAACAAAATCGAGAGTACACAATTATTGAACTTTGGTTCAATGCTGTTGTATCGTCAGAAGTTTTATAAGCCAAGATTCATTTTCTTAGCATTAGACTTTTATTGTTTCATATCATGAATTATGGAAATGCAAAAGCTACAACTTGTATCCTATAGCTTATGAGTAAAAATGTGTTGATTGAAACAATACAATCATCATTGTTCTATAATAATCTCCAAAAGAAGAGAATCAGATCAATTAGGAGTTTGCGCAAATTTTTAGGAATTGTTAGTGTTTACGTTGCCACATTGTTTCTGTCTCTTTCGTTTTCCTTTTAATTTCGATAACTTCGAGCCGATATCATGAAATTGATAGCACGTAAACTAAACACATACACAGCAGCTCGACGTATCTGAAGTCTGGAGGCTCGACTGTGCAGCGTGTCATACGGTTATCATAATTAATTGCATAACGACGGTGGGCACGACTGTGCAACAACAATAACACAAGACAAAATTATTTTCATACGCTTCAACATCCTGTTGCAACTTGTATTTTTTTTGCGTTTCTCATCTGTCTTCATTCGTTTTGTTCAATTTACTTATGTACCTTCATCCTTTGTCTACATTTACGTCACGACTGTTTGAATTAACTCCAGACTGCGAAAGGGTGATAAAGGAAGTATTGGGTAATTCTTCTATGCTTTTCTGCAAAACAGTGATTGCTTTATACAATATGTATTTATGATCCCAGTACCCCCTGCGATGCATTAAGCAAAAGAAAGAACGTTTGATTATTCGTAGTCTTTGACCCGAAGATCTCGCAATGAAATTCTTCGCACTTATTGCATGAATCTCCTTTGCCAAGAATTTTCCATTCCTTCTTTTATTATTTAAATTCATTTGAATACTGTCAAGAATACAAAGAGGTTTGATTTACAAGCTGTATTTATAGAACGAAGCAAACATCAAGTTTTATATCTACATATCAATAACGTGACCTTATTACAATTGAGTAAATCAGTAAACGTCGAGAAAATTGTCTAGCGAGATCAATCCTTTTCAGACTTGGGCGCCTCTTTCAATTTGCTTTGTCAGCCGACGGAGAGGTCCGTTGAGAGACATCTTCTGCACGCTGACGGAACTTACTCGACGATACTCCGCGTTTTTGCAATGCAGTCGATAGTCTGGCTCGCTTTCATGTATTCCGTGGGTAGGTATCAGCTGTTCGGGTGACAGTTTGCGAGCCGTGAGTGTGGGGTATCGAGGTTTATTGTTTGGGAGGCAATATGGCTATCTGGTAGATTAGTAGCAGCGCGATACGTAGACAAAGGAGTAACGCAGTTCTCATGATATTTGTAGACGCGTTGCGCGCACTTGTTCTAGTTGAATTTTAAAGTTGAGGGGATCGAGATAGATCGGAAGAATGTTGGAGCTCGAGGTGGTGCCCGAGAGATCCCTCGGCTGCGAGCAGTGGGAATTTATTTTAGGCAAGTGACGAAACACCCGCGTACTGCCGCGGCTACCTCCGTATTACGCGTTAATTTTCCGACGATCCGATTAATTCGTAACGAGCACGGATAACTTTCGTGCACGCGGTGTGGACCTCTTGTCCACACTTAGCGACCGATCGGTGTTATTGATATTGCTGTCATGTCACCATTCCCATTCCCTGCTATTTCGTTCCATTTGTAAACACTTGGTTTGACAATCGCGCGTAAACAATGCAAAACGGTACTTGTTGCGAACATTTTATTGCATATTATGTAATTGTTCGCAATTATCGTCTTATCGTTGACGATCGTTTTTTAGCTAAACTTCTAATTAGTGTAATTGATCAATTTATTACAAACTAATGTTGATACTTGAGCATCAGCTTAAAATTAGACATAAATCGAATGAAAATTATGGAGATGTTTTACGTTATTGTTTATACTTACAGGAATAGATGACTAGAAATAATAATAATTTCTTTCATTATTATAGGTATGCATTTTTCCCAATCCGTGTCAATAATACAGTCCCAAGTGGGCATTATAAGAGGAGTACAAGTACTTTATAGCGATAGTGTAAGTATGTTGTAACAAATTTAATTATTGCTATTGCATTTTCTAATTTAATGGAGAATTATTAAAACTTCTTACAGAATCCTTTAGATGTAGACCTAGTAATAAACTTACCTCACGATGGAGTTAGGCTTATATTTGACCCTGTGGTGCAAAGGCTTAAGATAATTGAGATTTACAATATGAAACTAGTTAAACTGAAATATTGTGGTTTGCCATTCAATTCGCCAGAGGTTTTGCCGTCTATCGAACAGATCGAACATTCGTTCGGAGCAACACACCCTGGTGTTTATGACAGTGACAAACAAGTATCATACTTTCTTTCAATGAAGGACGCTTTAACGAAAACTCCATGAAATCAAGGATTGTGTTTTTTCTTCAGGTATTCGTATTAAACTTCCGCGGATTATCATTTTATTTTCCCATTGACTCCAAGTTCCAACCTGGGTATGCACACGGATTAGGATCATTGCAATTTCCGAACGGAACTTCACCGCTCGTGGCGAAAACGGCCATTTACGTTGGCAACATGGGTGCTGGGGGAGGGAGCGACGAGCACAATTTAAAAGCACCGCCGCCACCTCTACCTCTCGTAATTATTATTTTGTTGATGTTCCGTAGCTTAAGGATATGTATTTCCACAAGTAACGTGATTGAAACAATGGGTAATCATGTTTCGCTAGGTTTGCTATCATAACAATTTGTATTTAGAGAAAGCAGATGTTATGAGAGATAAATCGCGTACGCGAGGTCTCAGATTGCACCTCTTCACAGAAGCCAGTTCCGTAACGAGGGTCTTGCTCGAGCCCAAGAAACGCTGCTTGACCAAAGAGGTTTACATTTTATCATTTCACCTTGTGGTATCATTTGTTACTTTAGCGTAGACTGAACATCGATTAGACGTAATAAGAATCATTCAGAGATGTATTCTATACTTCTTTCCTCTCCTCTTTTTGTGTAAAACATGCACGATTGTAGGTGTTGTTTGGCGACACTTGCGAAGATGTGCTAAGCGCTTTAGGAGCACCGTCACGAGTGTTTTTCAAAGCTGAGGACAAGATGCGCATTCACAGTCCTCACGCGCACAAACGCGACAAGATAAGACGTTCGGATTTCTTCTACAACTATTTTACTTTAGGACTGGTAAATTTCTCGACCGATACCTATCTCAAAAAGTCAAATTACATATTTGTTAATAACTCTTTTAACACAGGACGTATTATTCGATGCCAAAACACAATGCGTTAAGAAATTTGTGTTACACACAAATTATCCAGGACATTATAATTTTAACATGTATCATCGTTGTGAGTTTTTCTTGACTCTACCGCCAGAAAATAATTCCACTGACTCGGGAAAGCTCATAGACGTTTCCCCTTCTCCAGTTACGGTAATTGTACAATTTCACGATCAAACGAATGTCAATGAATGTTTAACATAATTTGAATGCACGTTTCGTTTCGTTTTGTTAGATCACTGCCTACACGAAATGGGACAAAATAAGCGAGCAGTTGAAGGCGAGCGCGCGACCGGTAGTGTTGAACCGTGCCTCCTCCACGAACACGACGAACCCGTTCGGGTGTACATTTTGTTACGGTATACGCGACGCAATCGTCGAGGTCATGGCAAACCAGCACATCGCAAGTGTAACCCTGTACAGAGCGGTGTGACGTTGATAATTTACGGAATAATGGTGCATTATAGAACGCTCATTGACGAGCAATCGACGGGGTGGCGTTTTCTTGCATGTGAGGCGAAAGGAAATGAAAAATAGGCAAGTTTCTAACTCCGACTGAGTTTGCATAATGACATCAGTTCAAGAGACTATACAATGCAAGGATGAATGTCGAGAGTGAATGTCCCTGATGCAGTTTCTTTCCTTTCCAACATTAACATAAAGACATTAAGATGACGTCAAGATGTTAGATAAAAAACAAAAAGGAAAAAAAATGTATAATGTAATTAATGAAAAGGCAGCGGAAGCATAAGCTCAGAAAAATCAAGCGATATCATATTGAGTATACTGTATTGTTGCTTATTATTATTTTACACCTTTCCTTGGAATATAAAAAAAAAACCAAGGAAATAAAACCAAAAAAAGGAAAAAACACGGAAAATGTAAAAAGACGATCAACTAAGGGGTACAAGTCTTTGCAATATTCAATGATATCATATTTAATATACCGTTTTTAACTTTTGGTTACAAGTTTTACGTACGTAGTTAAAGAACCAGAAAGAAATGGTCTTGCGTGAGCGATCAACATTTTAATATTTGAGCTCGATATTTGAAATAGAAGAAAAGGTAATAAAGACAAATAGTGTCAAAGGATAATAAGAATTTTGATAGTGTAATGATAAACCTATGACGATTGTAACGATAGTAATGATTAATGGCGAAAACATGTAATGTGCTTAAATCAAACAAAGAGACGGGTGTTTAACTTTCTTAAGCCGAAATTTTGTAACGCGTGTTTAGAAGAGTAAGGAATGAAGAGAAAATAAATATTGAATGCCAATGTGAAAAATGATATCTTGGACATACAAATCAGCGAGGTGCAACACACGTACTACAAGGCAGTCTATACAAAATTAAATATTATCGTTTGATATTAATTTCTAAACGACGAAGTAGTGAGGTATCTGAATGAAACATACAGACAGATAAAAGTTCATTGAGCAACTAAAAGATGTATTTATCAGCATGGAAGGAATTAACTTTATACTACTTTTCTTACATTCTTATCTATAAAACTTGAATCATTGTGATACGTGATACAATTACCTCTTTGCATTAACACACACAAAAAAAGAACGCTTACTTTTTGTGCTGTTGAATAATATTTGCAATTATAAGTGTACTCAGAAATTTGATTAATCTTTATTCTGTTAATCATGTAACAATTGAATACCACATCGTAAATTTGTCTTTTAAAGCTTGTGATGCGATACGGAAAGTTCTTTCGTTTTCTTCAATAAATTCGACCTCACCTGAATGTTAATTTGCACAATCGTATACCCTACTTCTACTAGGGTAAAAAAGGTGAATATGTTTTACGCAACATATAAACTTTGATAGTTGATAATCTGCAGCCATTATAGGATCTGTATCGATTAATAACTGTAAAATATAATTAACAGAAAGCGTTCGAGGCGAAACGCGAAAGCATGGGCGATGAGTTTACTTTGATTAACACTTTTTACTGCACAGAATGTTTATAATATTTTTTCTTCTTGTTCATGGAATTAGCGATGCTTATGGTCCACGGTTTTTAAAGCTCTTATAGGCTACAAGTTAAGATCCTCTGTAAGTTGTTCCGTTTCTATTACTTGAAACGCTAAGTGATCTCAATGTATGAAAATCCATGATTCGAAGACAAGGACAAAGGAACAAATAGCGAAGAAAAGTGTTAATCGACGCATAATTGTACAAAAAGCTTGAGAGACGCGAAATCGCACGTGTAAAGTTGCGATTATCCTTGTTTCTCAACGACTCTATTTCGATGGAATACCTCCTGTTTTGTAGACTTGACTATGTCGAACTGTTTTGCGTGGAAATTGTTTTCAAGTAAATATATAGAGTATAGAATTATCTGACCAAGTTCTATTCAAATAACGATGCAATAAATTCGAGACGAGAGGGAATCAGAGAAGAACCAACGGAACTTTTGGAAATTGTATTCTCTATATAATTATTTCTAATAATTCCTCCCGAGAAATCTCTCTATTTAGTTTATACAAAACGAATCATTTTGTATCGAATGGATTATAAAATTATGTAAAACGATTTTCTACACATCATTTTTCCTGTGACATTTTTCTCGTTTCGCTCATCAGAATTTTAACGAGGATTCAAATCGATCTCTCATATATTATGTTCGTTGCGACCGTAATATAATAACTGAATTTTATACACATATTACTTATCTATTTCCTCCGACGCGCGCCCTTCAGTGCGTCCAGCCCATAGCTGATGTAATTTTTCTGTCGTGAATCCAAACTCCGAGACGACTTGAACCTGTTCATTCTGATTTCGTTTAGCCTATCTCCCTGTGTTGGATTGTGTTGCTGATCAGTAGATCTGTATTTCTGCGTGGCTCGTTCCGAATCTTCTGTTCCTCGAATACTCCTCAGTTTTCCTGCAAGTATAAACGAAATAAAATATTATTTTACGACAAACGATGTAAATTCAAAAACTGCATGTTTGTTCATTTATAGCTATAAAATGGATGTCTTTATAGAGCTCTAATTTCTTTTTCATCTTCGATTTTTTTGCTGTATCATGTGACAATATAATAAAAAGTCTCTCAAAGGTAACGTACCTGAATTAAATTCTACTACAGACAATAAATGTGGCGATCACTTTTAAAAACTACACGACAGAGAGTGATTTCTTGTATTGGCGTCAAAAGTCGCGCAAGTACTGATTGAAATTGTGTGCGCACGCAGGTTCTTTGGAATACGCTACACTTTTGAGCACTATGAATATGTTTCAATTTTACTATTTAAATAGCGACTGAAATGGAAATTGTTGGATAAAATCATTCCTTATAACATTATCAAGTTTCTGAATGTTGCATTTAACTACATTAAAAGAATCGATTTCTAATTATTAACCAGTTTCGAGTTATATTAGTCGCGCGCTCAAATATCGATAGATATCGATCTATAAATGTGCGGGCAGCTTTCTCGATCAAGTTCAGCGTGTTCTGGCACAGACAAGATTGTATTGAATTTTTGATCGATTTTGCAGTTCAAGAGGATATTACGACTTCATTAGGATGAAAATATCAATCTGTGGTTCGTATTTATACATAATAATATAAATCTACAACTATCCTCAGTAAATATGGCCAGGTTTCAAGGCTTGACATTGTACCCACGATACTATCAGTGATTCCTTAAAATATTAAGACAATTACTGAAAAATGGTCAAACTTGCCCCAAATCCTTGTGAATCTAGTTTTGCCCTTCTTTTCCATCGTTGAATCATCATGTGTGTTAAATTCTGAAATCACAAAAACAACGTTGATAAGTTGTTTTCTATAATTGAAGGCCAGTAATTTTTAATATTACTTTCTCACTCTATTTTGTTTTTTCTTTAGATTTCTACTTATGGATCTCGAAACTACTCACCTGTCCTTCCACTCTCGGGTGGGTACTGTATCTTCTTTTCTATTTTATCCGCGAGGGAATATATTCCACGCTTGTGATGCAATATCACGTCATTGTCGCCGTAATACTTCAACCTGCCGATTGAAATGCATCGTAAATCAGGTAATTAAAACATCGTTTAATACGTAATAAAAGAAAAGCGTGTGTTACTTATATTGTTGGCCGGCGTTCAACAAATTCTTCTCGATATTTTCCAACCAAGCTTGTTGATGCCCGATAACAGATCCAGGTCTGCAAATTCTTATCCAAGCAATAGCTTCTCTAGCAGTCATTTTGTAATGCTTGATCAAATACGCGGCAATCAATGAGCCTGTTCTTCCTAAGCCAGCCTAAGGGTTTAGCAAATCAAATATAAAATAACTAGATGTAGGTGTAACATTATCATTAGATTGTGGATTGTTATTCAAAATCATATTTTTTCAACTATATTTTGAGGACTGTAATCGAATTCTACAGATCTTTCATTTTTATCATTTCATTTTTACATGAGCATTTTCTATAATTGCGTAAAAATTCGTAGTTTAATTATCATCATTATTATTTAGAGAGACTTTAAATTACTTTGCAATGAACTGCTATCGGACCACCGCTGTTTTCGCTCAGTTGCAAAAACTCATTAAGTATCCTTTTTGGTGGTACCGTGCCGTCTGGCATAAACATATCGTAATGCGTGATTCCGGCCTCGGTGAATCTATTTTGAAAAGTTGACATTTTACATCGGTTAATAATTCGGAGATTTAAGGCGGAGAGGTATGCATACCTAGATGCGTCGTATACTTTTTTGCTCAGTCTAACCACGGCAGTGACTTGGTTTTTTAAAAAGTAATCGATGTAGCACTCGGGCGGATGATAGGGAGTCCCTGGTTCCGTGCTCGGACCAACAAAAGCTAAAAATTTCTGCGGTACCATCCAATTCAAGGCACCGTTCCTCATGTCTTCGTACTTTTCGTACTCCTCCAGGTCGAAATCATTGAAATCGAAAAAGCCGTACGAGGCTGCTTTCTTAAGAGCGTTCAAGCAGTCTGTTCTAGTGAGAATAATCGGAATAAACAAATGCTCTTCTCGATCCTTACGAATAAATGATTAAACCACTGTTACCCAACAAGTGAATACTATAAATAGAGGATCCCATGGAAGCATCTCGAAACGGCTTTATAGGAATTTCACCTCCCATAAAGAGGAGATTGTAGGCTTCCCTTGGACTCTTGTCCAAGTACAGCACCGCATAGGAGGCGATCAAGTATGCGGAATTTGCTCTCTTCTGATCTCGCTGCGAGGTATAATGCACGATTTGTCTGTGCTTGTTCCCCGGACTCTGCAGTTTCTTAGTCACCTTACAGCAGTATCTGTTGGCAAAATCCTTTTAAAGGAGTCAGATCCGAGTGGTGCTATCCTTGTAAAAAATTGTTACCTATATAGGCAGGCCAGGTTCAGAGGACCAAAATCGTTGTAGAAATTGTTGTAAATCAGCTCGTCATCGATCGTGAAAAAGTGAATGTTGGATGTACTTTTCGCATCTTTTCGTCCGTTGCTTAACGTTGCAAAGTACAATTTGTCTTTCAGGTATTCACAAATGTATGTAACATCTGGGTGTTTGTAAATTGTAGTGATATCTGACGATAAATGTTAAACATTAACATCGTATACAAAAATCTAACAGCAAGTATCTAAGACGCTGGCAAAAAATATAAAACGATTAAATGTGATGTACCATCGGGGTTGAAGTTTCTACTGTCGCACATGTGCCGATTACTTTTCGGAAGTCCTGAACTCTTTTGTTCGTACATCGTGAATGGATATCTAAGCGCGTTACTCCTGCGGGCGCGATTATTTTGCATAAATTTTGCTTCCTTGAACGCGATCATTCAGCATGCTTCAGTCTCAGTCAGTGCACGATCATTTGTAAATCCAAGGAAATTTATTATTCCGTTGTGATTGGTTTTTCATTAATGAATGTAGCCCAGTCATATCTCGCGTGAGGAGAACGATTGTTTTCCGTTTAAATTAATACCCGCGTACCGAGATCAGATTTTAATTTCACGGTCAATCACTTAGCTTATTGTGTCGTCACATGGAGTTTCCTGCTGTAAGTTTGTAATTAACCAAGCACATGATTTCCCGAACCTAAAGGGACAAAGAAGAAAGAAAACAGATTTCTTTATATACATTTTGTGGTTCATCTTCGAATTGCAAATAAGAATAATTGGCGATAGTAAAAATCAAGTACCTTAGATAATTTTCATTTTCCAACAGAATATTATCTGCTCCTTTAATTTACCGCTGTTCGACACGCCAAATTGCTAATTTCATATTTGAATTTGAGAGACGTCTGTCAAGCCACTACGTGTTTCAATTTTTTTCTGCAGGGGATCCAATCTATTCAGTTTATAGAAAGTACCGATTAATAATAATACATCACTAGGCGTTTCACGTAGATCATCTGAAAATTATTTATGAATATACATCACTTGATAATATGTTACAGGAACGGGCGTTATTTATTAAAAGGTGAACCAGCATCGTTACAAGAACGGGCGTAATTTATTAAAAGTTGAACCAGCATCGTTACCAGAAGCAGCTGGAGATGTTGCATAAATACATATCAACGCACGCTACAAGTAGTGAGTCGAATTTTCACTTGGTTCTTTAATTAGTACTGCAAATTGCATGCTGCTTGTTTTAAATATTAACGAAACATTTTGCGAATGAAATTACGAATTGTGATTGTGCGCATTCACTTTTGCCCGTCACTGTGAGATCGATATCACTGTACGCATCGATAGCGGTATCGCCGATACGAAAATCAAGACGTCGCGCGTATTCCTTCGCGTTCAGCTTGCATAAAAGCTTCCCTCCCACAACCGAGCGGGCGCGACGACGCGGTACAATTTGCGAGTGCACCGGGAAGTGGTTTAACATGCAACGTAACGCCGAACCGGTAAAGCGACTGATCGGTATTTACGATTCAAGAGAAATCTTTCACGGGACAGAACAGGCGGCCACGACCATCCAACCGTGCATCCATTCCCTGCGTCCGTCAATCCGTTATAATTTCTCCGTTAATAGAATCCGAGATTTCGTAGCGACCCCGTGCCTAGCATTCGTAATCAGCATCGCATCGTATCGCCCGATGCTATCTCTCTTTCTCTGGCTGCCTCTTGCTCTCCTTGTCATCTTTCGCTTCTCGTCACTTTGCTCCCGGAATCATTTCTTTCTCTTCTTACGTTTTATCATCTCAGTCACTGCGTTTTCTCGGTCTCCTATTTTCAGAATTTTGATTCCTGTAAATGTTAATTCCAACTATAATGGGACTTTTGTCAAGGTTTTACTATGCTCCTTTGGCAAACTTTTACATAAAGATATTTGCATACGTGTCGGCCCTGTATAATCTGTTTACATCTTACATATTGTTTATTGCACGTAGCCTTCAATTTCCCACGGTTACCTCCTTCGTTTATCACTCCTCGTTTTTATCGTTTCGAATTTCGTTACCGAGAACAACATCCGGCTCCTTCATCTCGTCTTCTCCGTACTGCAACCTCCCGTTCTCCATTTTCTTCTCTTGCTACCGATAAATCTCCCCCATCTCTTTCTCCCGTGTTTCTCTCCTTGTTTCTTCATCGATAATATCCATCCGATATCTTCTTTGTCAAACAGTTGCTCTTTTTCTACGAATCTCCTCTCTGGAATCTTGTATTCTTCTCTGCTACCACTTACACTCCTCTATGTTCTTTAATATAGTTACCGTGGAGTTACTGATACATCGAATCGGATTCTTTCATCAATTAGTACGCGAATCGCGTTAGATTTCGTCGCCCGATTCTTCTTTATGCGATGATATCTCTTTTTGCGGTCGATTACGGCCGTTTCGACAGGGTGAAGTCATTCTTTGGTTCGATGCGAAATTCGGCAGGTATGTCACTTATTCATACCATTTATTACTCAGAACTTAAGGCGAGTCGTCAGATAACAAACGAGATTTAATGCGTCACTGCTTTAGATGATTCAAACGCAGCTGTTGTATACGCGAGCCGTGAGTTTAATTGCAAGTGTAAACGCAGATGGTTTTCGTGCAACGTTTGGTAAAAGCTCGATGAGTCTTGTTGCATTATTTACTTGGCCCGCTTTTCCTTATATGCGAGGATACAAGTTCACAGTTTGGTACAAACTCCAAGGACTGATGATTCGTTCTTTAAAAAATCTATAAAGAAGCTGTCCGTGAGTTGGACTGCTCGCGTATCAACATCCTCTGCGGTCGCGCGTCAACGTGTGCGGCACAAAGATCCGCTCATTGTTTCTCTAATGCATATTGACTATCAACAGCGAATCCGCTTTTCCTTATACGCGAGGATATAACTACGTCACGTCCTTATTCGCCGGCCGTCGTCTCGATCGGCCACGATCATCTTCGAACTCGCGGCCATATTCGGCGGACCCACCCACGGACAATGCCAGCCGCATTCATAAATCGACTCCTTACTCGTTCGTCGGTCAATCGAATTAAAACGATTTTTGCGCTACCAATGATAAATAATATTTTTATCATCATCTGAGTGGCACTGTAAATGCTGATCATGTTCCATTGACACCGTCTGCTTTACGATAAATCTATGAGATATTATCTCTCTTTATGTAATGGAAACGAACGTATTGACGGATCGAAGAATACTGAGAGAATCAAGAAAAACAGTGAAGCTAATTACGCTTTCATTGGGTATCGCTGTTGATCTATTTCGAGCACACCGTATCTCGAGTAACGTTACGCGGGCTGGACAAGGTCTTTGAATACAGACAAGTGAACAATGATTTCGAGTTTGCACCACGTCGCAAAGCAACAGAAATATAAAAATGGATACTGGGATATGTACTCGGGATAAACATGATCAAGGACGTGTCAAACTCATGATTAATTTTGATCAAGTTATTACAAGTATTTATTTGATAACGTGATTGAAGCATCGAACAAATTACAAATTATGTCAGAATTTCGCATGAATTTCATTATATTACACACGATAATCAAAGATGAAGCCAACTGGCAATTTGGATCAAGCCTCCATGGAATGTCGCGAAAGCACGATGGCTGACTCTTGTATTGGATAATTTGGACGAGGCGAGGTAACTGGCACATCCGCGCACCGCCGCCAAATACCGGCATACAAGAAGAGGCCTGAGGAACGTGTACGGGGACACGAGGTGTACGTGTTCTGCGAGTGAGACGCGATCGAGGGATAGATGCTCGCGAGTGATCGCCTCTGCTTCCGCGTCGACGGACAATCGCCTTTGACGAGGCTCGTTCGTGTACACGCACAGATTTCCTCCAGCACAATCGTTGTTTCTGGACACTGGGTGTCACACGCTTAGAATATTGGAAGAATCCACACAAAAAAAGGACAGGAGGTGCATGGTTCGAGTAGAAAGTAGAGCAGCCAATAGACAATAAAAGAAACTCCCTAACATGAAGCATAATTTTGATACGGATATTTTACTCCAAGATTTGATGAGCTACTTTGACGAGAAACAGCTAAAAAACAGTTGAACTTAATTTCCTCAGGTAATTTCTTATTTGTCTTTCATATAAGAAGGCACTCGATTCTTGTGCCACTGATTACGGGACACCCTGTACGGGCGTGTGTTCCATCCGAGAACGCATACACGCGCGTCGAAGAAAGCTTCTCCGCTCGAGCCACACCATGGAACTCTCCTGTCTTTCCTCTCGTCGTTGGATGACCGCGGTCGATACGCATGAGCATTCGAATCACGACGACCAAGCGAGCACGTAACAATTTCTGTTCTTGGGACTGGAGCCACTGGATGGATCGTCGATCCTTCCAGTTGGTCGTTGTTGCACATCCGCGCCTTTTCAATCTTCCTTGTTGCAAGAGAAAACAGCCAACGTTACCACTGGCTCGCCCTGGATCGTTCACCAGGCTTCGATCCATCGAAATTCTGAACAGCCCTCGCATTATGCATTCGACACGTTCACATCTAGATTTTGGCTGTCCAGGCTCTAGTTTCCTTTAATGATAGTTATTCTTTCAAGATCTCCTTATTGAAGAAAATGAAATCGTTAGATACATCGCAAACCAATTTAAATTAAGTGGATAGCGGAAAGATTGTTCTAGTTGCAAGAGATTGACTTTGATTCGCGGCGGACGGATGCGAGGATTTACTGTGGACAGGAAGTCGAAAACTGCACGACGTAGAACTGGTCGCCTTAATTTATCGCCATTCTACGTGATTCCCGTTAGGATGATGAACATGCAGCTTCAGCGTGTTCAGACGACTCTGCAAATTCATCTTCATAACTGTGCACTGCGCTGGTATCCAATTTGATATTCACCAGCGGACCCAATATTCTTGAAAACTGAATTCCTTCGCTTTGGAGAAACGAGGAGAATGAGATTCCTACAATTGGTGTACGTGCCAAGATACCTATGAACTTGGTAAACTTGGTTCAAATCTGAAAAGTACGATCGATTTTTCATCCAAGTCTTCAATTTCTCTGACACGTTTCACAACACGGGCCACGGTCCTTCTCGGAAACGCAGCCGTATCACCGTTGGGTGAACGCGCACGGGTGTGTTTCCAATCGTTGATGACGATATTTCAACATACGAGCGTCGGGCCGCGCCGCGCCGGGGTGATCATGGTGCAAGATTTAAGTCTTGATTCACCGGGACGCCGATTGATACGCGGATCAGGTACACGCTGAATTCTTATGCTAATGCGAGAAAGGAGCCGAGAAGACAATACGTCCACATCCAAACGCCGGCTCGCTTACACGCATCTGTATACACTCTGCGTCCCGTATTCTGTATTCTGTCAAGTGAATTAATACAATCACGAGGACCGCCGGGTGATTTTAGATGCGGTGAGATCGTGATCGACCGGTCGCCACCATGTCACGCTTTTATCGGGCTTTCTCGTCAGGAAAAACGGAGATGGTCTCGATTCTGGCCTTGGGAAAACCATTTTATCGTACCGGCTTCCTTGTACAAACGATAAGACAACGTAACCGATGCTAATAAGAAGTGAAGCTCGGGATACAAATCAACGTAATAGTTGTTGCAATATTTAAAGATAACAGGCATATATAATATCTTATTACATCATTATTACACTGCGGATTTTATGCATTTATTAGCAATAGTAGTCGCAGATAATAAATATGTCAGGTACAAACACTTTTTAACATAAAAATCTGGAGTCTGATCATTCAACAAATCCATATGTATTACATATTTAATAACTTTGAATAGAATTTTGCTACAAGTTCTCGAGAAAACGATTGAAGGTTAAGCTTACGAAATCAGCAACTTTTTTCGTGAAAATGAAT